GTCCAATAACACTTCTGCTCAAACAGGGCCACCTGGAGCCAGTTACTCAGGACTACATCCAGATGGCTTTTGAGTATCCCCAAGGAGGGAGACTCCACAACGTCCCTGGGCAGCCTGTGCCAGTGCTCAGTAATGCTTGCAGTAAAAAACCTTTCAGGAGGAGGCTCCTGTGTTTTGGCGTGTGCCGGTTGCCTCTTTTCCTGTAACCGGGCGTCACAGAAAACAGTCTGGCTCCATCCTCTTTGCACCCTCCTCTCAAGTATTTGTATACATTGATGAGATGTCTCTTGCAGCTGCTGAGTTGACACAGTTTATAGATACTGTTCTCCATAATTTCCAGCTGCCCTGTAAGCAGGATTGGGTTTTAGACCTGCATTTTCAGAAAAGAGAAAGGGGAAGGTTATAGGATGAGTGATGTATACATTGCAAATGTCATGCATCCATTTAAGAAATACCCTTAGTATTCTTAAACAATTAATTAAAAAAAAGGATCTATGTTTTTCTCCTGGACTTGCTATCTACAGACTTACCTAAGATTCTGTCACACAGTGTTCTAGGTCTTTCACTCCAGCAATAAGCAATCCTCTCAGACAGTTGCTTACTTTTGATTTTTCTCGTAGTTCATAAGACTTGTGTCATTAAGAAAGAGTGTAATCTCTTTATACTGGCTTAAGCACAAGAGAATATGATTAAAGTCAGTAGGAGAAGCAAATGACAGGTGCTGTTATAGCTAGTACAGGCAGATGTAAGGCGGTGAGGATGGGAAGCCATTATTTTTCCCCAGATACACTCTTGTGTTTTTTTTGGCAAATAAAATTCAGTTTTCATGGTGAAGTATTATACAGTATATTAGCATTCTTGTAGTGTATTTAGTAAATATGTCACCTCCGTAACAAATTTTAACCACCATAGTCTGTGGTAAATCCTTTTGGAGATGTGAGGAAGTGTTTTTTGGTCCATTAATGTAACAAGTCTTACCACTATAAACTAAAGTACTGAGGAGCTGTGGTGGTGCAGACTTCCTGATGATTGCTGTAGTGTTCCTTTATTTGTTAAGGAAAAAAAAATGTACATGAGCATTTTTATGAGAGACTCATTAGAATGAGCACAGCAGCAAGAAGATGAGCTGTCATTTATTGTTCCAGCTTACAAATTAAGTCTTTCTTCTACTGATATGTGCAAGCCTTATCCGAGTATCCCTGCTGGTAGAATTGCACAACATTCCACCCTCCTTATCACAGCACTTCTCCCTCTTGTCTGAGATGTCTAGAGATTAACAAACCCTTATGGTGGATGGGGGGGGTGGATAAATAAAAATGCCTCATTCATAAAAACTTTTAGAGCTAATTAAAATTAAGCTGTATCTTACTGACTGACACCAAAAGGATATAGTATTTAGAAAATCTAAAAGCAGAGTGAAATCTTAAAGGAAAAAATGCTTGTTCTGTATCTCTGTGGCCATCCAGTGTCTGAAGTGGTAATTACTTTGATATATGATTATAGCTATGTTGAAGTCTGGGGGGGGGGTTAATGGGCTTCTGCTATCTGAAGAAACACTTTAAATGAGATACTTATGGCTATACTGGGTTGAAGAGGGATGCTAAAAACCCTGCTTACAAGCCTTACTACTACTCTGAATGACTCTTACTGCAACAACTCTTAGTCAAGCTTTTCTTGCCTCCAGAGTATGATGCTATCAGTAGAATGAGTTGGTTTAGGGCTGCAATGCATTTCCCATGTTCTGTTGTTTCTTTATGACCTTGAACAAAACTTTGTACTCTTGATACGTCTGCAGATGCTTCTCTTGAAGGTGGTTGGGTGCACATAGAGGACTAGGCAGTGGGTCTGCCCAGGAGTTTTGCTATGCTCATTCCTGCAACCTGAACTTCAGCAGTATGAAAGAAGCCTGATCTACAAAGGCTGTGTGGTAGCATGGCTCACAGGAGAATAAAAGGAGATGGGGGAAGGAGGAGATGACCCTCTTCACCTGCTGTCTTTTGTGGAGAGCAATGTCTTTGATATCTTTCTTGCCAGGCAGTTTATCCTTCATCTGGCTGATGATTCTCCTCAACACAGCAGGGTTTGCAGTAGAGCTCTCATGGTCTGCTGCTGTGATAGATGGCACCAGTAGATTTTTGTGCCTTTGTAGTTAGATAACCCCTTGATAATGTGGACAAGAAGGAGGCAAGAAGTATATCTAGTCCTTGTTAGTAATAAATTTAAAATTCCCACTTTGAGTCTGTTTTGCCCATGATGGTGAGCAGTAAGTGACCCCTCCCTTAACTCATGAATCGTTTGTTGTAGTTTTCTCTCCTCTATCCAGTTGCAGAGGTGGGGGAGAGAGTGGCTTTCGTGGGTACCTGGCATTCAGCCAGGGTCAACCCACTACAGCTGGCTAAGCCATCTCTGCTCTGCTGTTTCACCTGGTCAAACCATGTTCTTGGTAACTGTCTACTGTTGCTGCTGTCACATTTGGGATTGAGTTGAATAGTGTTCATCGCAAGCGGTTAAGATGTAGGTAAAATTAAATGCTCTTGGAAAGGTAAATAGATATTGCTGTGTGCCAAGCAGCAAGGTAACCAGCTCTAAACACTTCTGAAACTTTCTTGGGGAAAGGTTTGTTCTTTCCTGTCCCTGTGTATGAAGGTTCAGCTGCCCTCTCAGGAGAAGGGGCATTCCTATGGCCACTGTGCTCCCCCACAGCCTCAGGAATGGGACTGGGATGTGGCCGACTGGGGCTGCTAGAGCAATGCAACTTGTGGGCGTGCAGCACTACCCCTCCCCAGGGAGGAAGGGAAGGGAGTGTGTGCCAGTGGGTTCATCATCTGCAGGAAAAAAAAGAAAACAAGTAGAGCTGTATTTATTCACTGGTGTTGAACAAGCTGCTTGTTAGAAGCAGCCTATTTAACTGTTGCAGCTCTAAGCATTTTCTGTCAGCCGTGTGATCACTTTGGTGTTTAGACTTGATGGGGGCAAAACTGGTGTCTTGCAGAAGGCTCTGTACTATCTTCTGGAGAAAGCTTTCAAATGTAGCTGACCACTGTAATGTATTCTGAAGCCCTGAAAAATAACTATTTAGCATAAATCTTTATTAAAAAACCTGCAAAACACCAGAATAAATGAGCTTTCTTCCAGAGGAGCTCTCTTAGTAGAATTAAAGAAAAAAAAAGAAATTAACTCCTTTACATGCTAAGAGAAATGGTCTTTGACTGTGGTGTCAGTTCCTGAGAAAGCCACCCCCCAAAAGCCAGGCTATATGTGTGGCTGCTTGCTATCAAATTTCTTTGCTTCAGTAAACTGATGTCTTACTTTCTGTCTTCCTGTAGGATTCCTGAAGTAGTGCTATATCCACAGCTAATAGTTGGATTAATATAACTCCTGGGCTATCCAACATGGATCTGGGTGGGTCTGGAGGGCTGAGACCAGTGGAGGTCTTTGGCTGGAACAGGTGACTAAGACCAAGTAGTTCTCACCAAGGGATGATGTCAAATGGGATTATACATCTTGTATGGGTGATGTCAGATGAGGTTGCAAATCTACAAAGGCACTTGACTTTAATGCCTGTTTGCTGAGTAAGTAACTCTTTTCTTTGAGCTCTACAGGACAACTCTGGCTTCCCATCTGACACTGAAAATTCAATCATGTGCCAAAGAAACATGCTCTGTCCGTGTATCAGATTAGAGGTGGATTGATGGTGGTTTCTTCTGTTAAAAATAGCCTCTGCACACAGCTGTGCATCTGGGAAGCTGGAGCATCACTTTGAGGAATACATGTGGCATTTTGTCTTTGCAAGAATGATGTATCATAAATAAAACCTGAGCTGGACTTTATTTCTCTACATTGTTCCAGGTATTTGGTAATACCTTCCATAACTTCTAATGGTTCTCTGGATTGAAAATGATTATGGAACCTATCAGAAGCTGTAAGAGAAAAAGGAATCCAGACTGGAAGGCAAGATCTGAATCTTTCCAACTCCACAGCAGCTCTGATCTAAATCTTAACTTACTAGCCCCAGCCCAATAAATAGTTTGTTCTTTTCTGCACAAGGTACTATTGTAAGGCTGCCCAGAACATGAAGGTATAACTTTTCACTTAAAAAAAAAAAAATACAAGCCTCCTTAGCAGCTGCAGTTAGCCAGTATGTGTATCCTTAAACTGAAAGGGAGCATCTTCCAGCTAGAGGGTGGTGAAGGCACATGGTGTGATTCTTGAGGATGTCCTGTGCAGGGCTAAGATTTGGACTTGATGATCCTTGTAGGTCCCTTTCAACTCAGAATATTTTGTGATTCTGTGAAGAAGTGTTACTTCTGTAGAGCTTGCACTGGTGTCTGCTTCAAAGGTTTTATTTTTAGCAAAATTTTATTGGCTTGATGTGTAGGAAAAATAGAGACAACATATTAGCAAAATAATTCCTATACCAGTGCAACCTGTCATTCGACAGAAAGGCCTTCTAATTAAAGCTCCAGTGCTTTCTTTCCAAGATATACAGCTGTGTTTCTTTCCCCTATGAGCCATCAAGAGTGAAACAGCCATCTAAAATCTTTAAATTATTATTCTGAAACAAAAAGATTTCAGAGAAGGTACGTGAGCCTAGTCTGTATCCCTGGAAGGTACGGCCACCCCAGGTTGCCGTGCATGTAGTGGATCCCACCAAGTAATGGCTTTCTGCCTCCACTGCTCTTGTTGCATGGCAGTTCCGCAATCCTCTTCCAGCAATTGTTAATTCCTTTCTCGTTTTTTCATGACTAATTTAGGCCAATTTGTTTTCTTGCAAGCATCAACCTTTACCAATACTTTAAGAGGGGAAATAATGCCTAAAACTAGACAGCAGTCAAATTTTCCCCTTTGCTCTCATTTAAACAAGTAAAGTCCTTTTAGTCTCCTGTCATACTATGGGTTAGCTATACCTGTGTCCAGACACCGGTAGTTACAAAATTCACCTTGCCGCTATCTTCTGCCCTAGCATTGCTGCTTCTACCTGTGTTTAACTCTTGGTCACTTGACAAAAGCAAGTTGCACTTTCCTTCCCTCAGACTGCTGACTTTAAAGAACTTGCTGTAACTACTCAGTCCCTTGCTGAGTAGTGAGCCCCTTCCCTTTTCACCCAGAGGAGATTTATCTCAGTTTTTTGATGTTCAAATCTAGAAACCTCTTTATTAGTCTGTGTAAAGTAAAAACAAGTAAAGAAGCAAAGGATGAAAATCTGCTTTTCCTCACTGTAGGTCACTGCTGTCAGATCTTTGCATCACTGGTGCAGTACAATGGCAGGGGCACTGGATCATCCTTACATGGGAACTCTGGCTTTTCACTGCACTCTTGTAAAGTGATGCCATTGGGCCCAGAATCCTTTTTACTCTTTGCACAACATAATTCCAGGGAAATTTTTCCGTCTCCTGTTCATGAGTAGTATTTCCTTCTTGGTGCAGTGTGTGGAATGGTGTCTACAGCATTAATGCTTCTCTTCTGCAATGCAGTGTTTTATTCAAGAGTTGGAACTGAGGTGGGACAGAGGCAGTATCTGCTGCTCTCCCCTCTTTTCCACCCTCTGCCTTAGTGTCACTCAGAGATGGGCTTTGCTGCTGCTCGGGACATGTCCTGTCTGGGACCAAAAAGTCAGTCAAAGCCAGGGTGAGAGAAAGTAACAAAGCACTGAGTTTGCTGACTCTTTCATCTAGTGATCAATAGTGACTTTTATCAGGGACCTGCATTTCTTAATTTCTCTGATACCAAATGCAGTCTGTGAGCTTGAGGCAGGCTGTCTGCATTTCCTCTATTTAGGATGCCTTGCAAGTGCCTCTGACCATATAAAGTTAAGTGAACCTGTGTCTGGTGATGTGATCTAGCCTACAGCATATCCCAAGTTCCTGATCCCTGGGCATGAGAAAGGACCATGTGTCTGCACTGTGTCACTTCTGAATAACTGCATTGGGAAGGGCTGACATCCAGCAATTACAGCTTCAAAATCGATACGGAGGATGGCACAGGTTAAAACAGGAGCAGATGCCTCAGCATCTATGACATACATGCCACACAGCATGTATGTGTCTGTATTGGTTATATAATGCACCAAAAACCCAGATGCTTTAGCAGGCATGATTCTTCCACAAATTCTAATCCTGGAGGGAAGGCAGGACCCAGGAAGGAACAGTATGATGCTAATGTGCTTTCCTGTGGGCATTACAAAATACAGGGGTTATTTTGCAGGACTTTGTATCTATGCAAGGAGGAAGGGTTTCAAGGGAGGAACAAGGACTAGGGACCCAGATTAAAAAGCTTATTGTGGGAGTGCTAAACAGGAAATGAAAGTAGACTCACCCGAACTGTGGGACATATTTCTCTGTGTCTGCGTTGTGGCCAAGAAGGAGCTGGTGCCTAAGATGCAGAGCAGAGACTATGCTTGCCACATCTCCAAGATGCAGCAAGGCATGGAGGCACGCAAAATTTTGTGTTCTAAACTTTGATCAGCAATGGCCCTTTAAGGCTGAGCAAGGCATGGACACTGCCCAGTCCAAACCCAGCAGCCACGTGAACTCTCCCCAGGTGGGCAGTGCCAGGCTGGCACAGCAAAGCCTCCCTCCCCTGCCCTGATGACAGAGGGAATCTGATTGAACTTCCTCGCTCCCACTCACTTTGCCCCCATTTTCCTCAGGACAAATGAGAAGAACCTGTCTCCAAGTGCAAGATTTTGGGAATATGTGTCAGAGATGCCTGAAAGTAAAACATCCATCTTGCCCTAATTTCTGCATGAAGTGCTGCAATGTCAAGTGAAATAACCTTCCAAGCTGGCTCTGGTGCAGAGGTATTTTGGCTTACGTTATTGCTGAGAGCTTTCTCTCTGATGAGCTCTTTCTGCCTCTCTGTGTTTCTGATGTCTGACTCTCTTCACTCGTTTTTTCCCTTGGGCTGGGATGTGCACTGTTTGTAATGCATCAAGAAGTAATACGCGATGAGGAAACTCTCATCATCTGTGCATCAGAGAGAGAATTACTGACTGAGTGCTGAGCAGTCAAGTTATTGATTCAAACCAAAGCCCAGTCTCTCTGTCTGCTGGGCTGGTTACATCCTTCTGGTTCATTGCATTTAATCGGATTCCCTGAGCTGCCACACAGAAGGGGAGAGTTAGAAGCAGATTCAGCTACAATGTTCTCTTCAAAATCCAGTTCGGTATCCCCTTCTCCGTCCATGGAACAGGCAGATTCAGATGCTCTGGACATCAGCACCAAAGTGCAGCTGTATGGCGTGCTCTGGAAGAGACCCTTTGGGAGGCAGTCAGCCAAATGGTCCAGGAGGTAAGCCACAGTTGCTGAGGGATGCTCGGGTGAAATACAAAGCCTAAGGGTTGTGGGATAAGTTAGAGCCTGAGTGCGGCTAGCCAGGCAGAGGCTAGGGCTAAAACTGTGGGCATAGCTTCCCTCCTGTTCTGAGTTGGCTTTACACACGTGGCACCCCATTGTTCTCCCTTCTTTATCTGTCCAGACCTTGTGCTATGTGCGCTTCAGGGAATAGGGACTAGCTGCCTCCTCTGGATAATTATCTTATGATAGTTGCACAAAAGAGGAAGAGTCAGCTCATATATTTTGCCCCTAAACTGCTTGACTTTGTTCTTTAGCACTCATTAAAGCTTTGAGTCCTTCGGGTGTGAGATGGCTAGGCTGAACTGACTGTGCACGTGTGTCTGTATGTGTGTGTGTATGGTCTGCAGGGGTTTGTGGACCAGCATCAGAACGGCTATGCTGCCTTATAGTGATGGCACACTTGGAACAGCACATGAAGACTCTTCCCTGGGAAGAAAGTCGCACTGAAGTCTCTTCCATATGGTGTTAGAGAGTTGTAAGCTGCTGTGTGTTGTCTGCCAGCAGCCCAGAAGTTTGGAACTGGAAAGCGTTTGCTATAACCTTTTACCAAGGATAGAATTATGTTCTATAATACTGAAGTGATGAGTCAGTTTTAAGTTTAGAGTTGGTGTATTTCTCTATGTGAATCACTGAATCTCTGGTACTTACCTTTTGTGGGTAAGTACTTACTCTTTGCTGCAGTGTGCAGTTTGGACACAAACAATCCATTTCTAAAGCCAGCTTTCCCAGTTTTGCTCTGTGTAGTAACCACAGTGCTGTCCAATCTAAACCTGTGAAAATGGCATAGCCTGGAAAATAGTTAAACATTCCTTGGGAAACAGTTTTATATTTGTAGCCATCTTTGACCTGTGTGCAGGTTTTATTCCCTTCCCTTCCTCCCCCCAGTGGCCTGTTTTCATCCAGGAATGAATTTGTGCTGATGCTCCTACTCAGTTCCCAAATATTGATATTTAAATGAATTATGTCTGGAAACTAAAGTGACTGTGTTACGGAAAAGAAGTGGACAGAATAACGGAGGGGAACGTAATTTGCCATGGAGGAGACATTCTTAAAAGGCTTTCTTCCTAATAAAACTTTCTTGCAGGCAAATGGCCCATTTCTGCTCTCTCTGTCATTATTTATTTAGTGCTGCTCTATTCCTAGAAGTCACCCCCATCTTTGGCAAGTGGTAAATATTTTAGTGCTAGCAAGTGGGAAGAGATGGGGAGGTGACGTGGGGCAGGGATGATATGGAAGATAAGTTGCAAGAACAGCAGCTGAAGTCCTGGGAGACCAGACACAGGTCAGTGAGAGGTGAACACAGGGAATCTGTAGGGTTTGGAAGGAAGTGAGTTCTGGAGTTAAAAGACTGGGACAGTAGGAACAATACGTTTGGGTGTTTTTTTATCATGGGAGAGACTTGCTTTTAAATAAAGTACCGTTGCATGTTATTATAAGTCAATCATTACGTGGGGATAAGGAGCAATTCACCATTCCCCCTACTTATCCCCCCATTCCTAGCAACACGTAGCTAGTCACAGGCTCTTTTTTTTTTTTTAATTGAAAGAAGAAGAAATGTTTCCCACTCCAGTTAAATAAAGAAAAAAAAATTTGACTTTTGCGTGATGTAGTTGAGGATCTGATCTCTGAGCAATGTAGGTTTTGCCCTGACGTCTTGGACTGGACAACAGTCTTGGTCCCAAGGAAAATCTTTCCAAGATATGGGAGATAAACCAGCTTGTAAGGGGAGGATTGATCTCATCAGGCCATCAGCCATGAAGACAGGTTTACGTGGCTGTTGGGACATGTATGAAATTTACTGGCTTGATCCCATTCATTTGGCTGTAGCAACAGTGCTTCTGGAGACACTGAGAAGAGTCGTGTTTAAGGGAAAGATGGAGTCTGACTAGATTATGGATCAAGGTAAAAAACTCCAGGCATGGTGTCCAGTGCTTTGGTGATTGAAATCCCAAGGCTGGGAATTTTGCAGCAGTAGAGGTTATGCTGGGAAAAGAGAGGTATAGCAGAGTCTTGTTTCAGTCAAATGGCACCTGTGAGGACAGCAAAACTTGACATGAGGCAGCTGTCTGGAGCACTTTCTGTCCTTTCCTTTGCTCACACAATGGTCTGTTCTGAAGCCTAAGTATTTGCATGCCTGTCACACCAAGTACTATCCTAGAGCAGGCTGGGTGCTTCTGACACTGGATCAGTGTGGCTGTGTTTATCTGCCAGGACTGACATCTGAGCATGCTGCCTTCCAGAGCTTGATTTTGAGATGCCATTACCACTATCATAGTACCCATCTCTCCAAGATAAGAAATGCTATCCCTAATGTGAATTTTCTTTCCCTGTAAAATAATATCCTTTCAGCAGAAAAGCAACTGTCTTCTGAGTTTACTGATGTTTTTGACCAGTCTAAGCTTGGCTTCTTGCTGGAATGGCTTTGGCAAATAATATTCTCAGCCCTTGATGTATGGTCCTCTTCCAACCAAACTGCACCCCATTCTTCCTTTCAACAAATAGCAAGCAATTTATTTTCTCCTACTGCAAAAGTTGTAATTACAAAACTGGTAATGGCATCAGCCTGTTGCGGAAACTGCAGTGAAATGCACAATGTGTGTACCTGCCCTGGATGTGATATGAATAGGGTGCTGCAGCTTTCCAGGAAGGAAGTGGCACATTCTTCTCTACTATGAATAATCCCAGTCCCATACAGAATGTCAGGCTCTAAACTGTCTGTCACCATGTAGGTGGGAGACTTGGAGACTCAGTGAGACAGTTCCAGGAGGGGGCATCTGCTCTGTGATCAATCAGAAAAGCAAGGTGGAACGTGAGAAATTGAAAACAGGAGAGAACAAAACACAAAATATTCCTATATTTCTGAGTAAATCCTTCAGGGATGACAGGTTGCTGCTGGAAGGAGGGAAACATAGCACAGTTAATAGAGAGATTTCATCTTCTCTTGAACCAGTCCTGGCTGTGGCATTGCAAAGTATGCATGTAATCTTATTTTCTACAGTGACTACTAACAGTCATTGCGTGTGGTCACGGAACAGATGGAAAGGATAATTGTTTAGGACTGCTTTCTGCTCAAAAAAAGAACCCTGAAAAACACACAGCCACCGAGAAGTGTGTGTATGCAGCACAGGGGCAGCAGGAGCTGCCGAGACAGTGCGGCTGCGAGTCCAGCACACCATGTGGTTCCCTCTCGTCCTTGTAAACTTCCCACTTGGCTGCTTGCTGTCAGGAAGCATACAGCTCTTCCCGCTCCCTGCCTGGCTGAGCGTTGCTCCTGCTGCCGGGCGCCAGGGCAGGAGGCAGCAAAGCAAGCGTAAAGCTCCCAGGAGAGAGGAAGAATGAGGGACGGGTACTGCAGACTCTGAGCTGATGTGCTAATAAAGAACATTTGCCCGTCGGTTTCCTGAGCTGTCCCTAGGGATACAGAACTGAGCTGATCTAGCAACTGGGATTCACTGCCTGTGCTCCTGGACTGGTGCCCAGAAAAACACCATTGGAATGAAGGACCAAGGAGACTGCTGCAGTTTTATACTGTAAATACTTCATGCGGGCCATTGTCACATCAAAAACTTTTACAAATATTAGCTAATTAATCTTATTAGCCCTCTGTGATGCAAAGAAAGCACTGTATTCTCAGAGATCAGGTATCTCTACTTGTCCAGTGTAGAGCTATTGTTTCTAATCCTGGCCGGATCACGGCTCTGGCTTTACCTCCAAGTTATGCAGATTGTTACTGTTCCTCTGCTATTCCAGTTTAATTACACTGTGGTTTCAGTGGTTTCTTAGTACAGGACCCAGCAGCAGGGATGGGTGCCCCAAAGCAGTTGACCTAATGTGAATGGCTCTTGTATTACTTGTGCTACCCGTGGAGTGTGGGTGGCTGTCCCAGGCCATCTCGTCACTCTTACCTTCACTGCTGCTCTCCGGGCTTTTTGAACTCTGCTCTTTTTAAATCACTTATTTTTCTTGGTTTCTTGTTTGTATTCAAAATCTTCTGCCTTTCCAGCACTCCCTTTTATGTTCTCATGCTGCCATATCTGTGCCTACTTTAGATGTCTGTTCAGTGTCTCTATCCTCCCAGTCAAAGTCCTAACTGGGTGTTTCTCCCCATTCTCCCTTGGCCATCTTTCCCCTTTCTGCTCTTGCTCACCTAGCTGCTGCTTTAGACTTCAGCTTGCTCTTGAGTCTTATAACTCTCTCCCCTGATTCTTTACTTCATCCCTATTTTCACTGTGCTGCATCAACTATCCCTGTATTGTTGTTTAGAGACTTTGTCCTGAAGGTCAGTTAAAGTGATGAACTTGGTTGCTTAGGTGTTGCCTTCTAGGTAAGGATAGATAGATGAGGGAATGTTATCTGAACATAAAAACATTATGTCCAGAAGCTAACCAGATTTTCAATGTTTACCTTCATTACTTGCACTGGGATTTTGTTCTTATTACTTTTTAAACCCTTATTTTGTATGCTTTCATTCCAAATTTCCCCATCTGTAAGGTCAGGGATCTAAAAGTTCATAAATCTGTGAGAGACATATCAATTCTCAGAGATTTGTACTATGTTTTGTTCTTCTTTTTGTTTTGATTTTGGTTTCCAATGGAGCATAATCTGTATTATGAAGATTATCAGCACTGAGCAACAAAAAGTATGTATCAAACTAAAACCTTGCTTTAACTGGGGGTTAAAATTTAGATTAAAAATCATGAAGTTAAAGATCAGTATGTTTACCTGTCTTGCAACTATTTCTTGAGGTTATTCAGACTGAAAAGAGTGTTGAAAGTGATGAATAGACTTTCTCCATTTCATGTGTGGTGTTGACTTTTATTCCTTAGGTTCATATTTCTGCATACGGTAGCTGATTAACTCACTGGACCAAGCACAGGAGCACTGGCCAGGAAGGATTGTTCTTTTAAGATGTTATTTCTGTATTTATTGTGCAGATAAGGTAACATTTCCCTCTAAAAAAATCAAATTCTCCTTGAACTAAGCATTAGAGACATAACATGAAGATGCAGCTACACATAAGAAAACTTTTTTATAGAGTTAATGATCAGAGGGGGGAGGAAAAATGAGTCAGGAAGGCTGCTGTTCACAGAAGTGACATGGACAGGAGGAACCAGAAACAAGCCTTGTGTGCTCTGTGGAGGTTTCTCTGATATCTGCCTTGGCCAGGGTCAGCTCTGAGCCTGCTGCAGAGGTCGTGGCTGCCTTTGCCATTAGTGCAAATATATCTGAAAATCCCAGTCCTTGTTTCACACAGAGGTGAGACCTTGATGAATCCACTCTATCAGTAATGTGTCCTCAGAGATGTGCCTAATGCATCTGCTAAATGGGCTGATATCTCAAAGTTATGTGGACAGCCACCACAGGTAGGGTCACACCTGGCTTTCCCAACTGAGGGAATATTAGATGCAGCTTCTCTGGGAGTTGCACTGGAACATGCACGCGTTCGGGCTGGAAGGGAGATGGTCACCCAGGTGAAAGGTGAATAGTAATTGCTTCTACTCAGATCACCTGCTGGACAGCTGCACTGTGAATGAGCAGCTTTTCAGTCCTCTACCAACTAAATAAGCTCAATGCAGAAGAGTGATTTTTGCACTGAGTTGTGCTGTTCTGCTTAGAGCAGTTTTGCCAGGCTGTGGTCAGGAACAAGAGGTGAGGCTGGGCAGTCAACCATGATGTTCCCAGAGTATCAAACGAGGAGACAGTGTCCTGCTGAGGAAGCAAGCTGGCTGCTTCTCCCTGCCTCTGATGCCAACATGAACAGGTATAGATGAGTGGGCAAGGAGAAGAAAAAATTTGGGACACAATAACTGCTGCTGATGTTTGTATGTTCTAAAGATTTCTGGATGTAAATATGTTCAATGACTGTCACTTTTACACATTTTGGAGAACTTGCAAAGTAGGTCCAGAGCTTGAGTTTGCTACAGTCATTCAGAAGTTTAGCTTTGTTCTGAGTTTTTTGATTGCTCTGAGAGCCCCATGCACACATATTTCCATGGCATTTGGCAATTTCATCTGTATTGCCAGACCCACAGCAGAAAAGCAAGAGATAGAAGCTGATGGAAGTGGTAAAGCTTTTGCCCAAGTATAATTATGATAATTATTGTTAATAATTATATATATAATTTTATTACTATAATTATATATTATAATTTTATTATTATAATATTCTCTGCCAGCTTTGACTTCTTTCTTTAGCTTTAGGAGCTAAACTGCTAAACTAAATTGCTGTTCTTATCTGTACTGGAGGCAGTGCTTGGCTACATCTGACAGCCCATCCACTTCAGAAGAGGACTGGGATGGGATGGACATGTGAAGGCATTAGAACTGTCCTTGTGGATCAATCCCCTGAGCCTGTAGCCCATCACTGATGGTGGCTTCAGGGAAAGGTGCAGGAATGCTCAGGCTACAGAACTGGACAGCACTACCTGTAGAAGTCTCCTGATCCCTCCCAGAAGCTGGAGGGTTTTCTGAGAATGTTCTTTTTATTCAAAGAAATGCCTTATCGTTTCCAGTTTCCTCATGATCTCTTGTCCTTGGGACCAAATGAAAGTGATTTACACAGGAGTGTTTTGTGCAGTGTAAAAAGGCATTCTTTCAACTTACTACCTTTCACTTTCTTTCCAGTTCCCTGTTTCTCATGTCAGAAAATATGTACAGAACAGTGCAACATATTTTCTTTGTCATTTACTCTTTTGAAACCTCCCTACTAAACTTGTCCCCATTTTTTATTCAGCTGCTCTTCAGAATTTTTGAGTGCTGCGGAGATTTAGACCAAATTGAAACTAAGTCATATATCTCTCACCTGTACCACTGCCTGCAGAGTAAATGCAACCTCGATTTTTGAAGAGAAGAGGGACTCTCCCAGGGGCATTTTAAAAATCCAAAGAAGTTAAAAGTGGAACTCCTTTAATCATAATTTTGAGGGCATGCTCCAGTAAATTAGAGGCTCGGTTTACAGAAATTGTGATATTTTGTGGCTACTATACAGTGATCATCAGACCATACCTAAGGCTAACTGAGCAGAGCAAGGCATAATTTAACATTACCCATACGAGAAAAAAATATTCAATTTCCTTTGTAGTTATGAAGGTCAATGACAGAAGACTTTGCCAGGAGCTCTGCTTAGAAGTATCTCTAAAATTTATTTCTGCTCCTGAGTGCTCTGGTGGCCAATTTTTTGCCTCAAGAGTCGCTTGCAGATGTTAGTGTGTGACTCTCCCTGCCATGTGACTTAGTGTTAGAGTGAAAACACTTCCCTTCTGTCTTATTACAAGATGGGAGGAAAGAGGGTGGCAGGGGACAGATTGCAAAAATAATCATTTAGTTGGTCTTAGCCCATGTGTGAGACCCTTAAAAAAAAGAACAGCTGTCTTCCAATAGGTTGAATCCAACCTACATGGGCTAGATAGAGCGCAAACAGCTAGAGGTGCCAAAAATCTTTGACCCTGTCTTGGACAGAGAGTGCTGTGAGTAAATGGTGCTATGGTTTGCCTTCAACACTGGTGTGTGCGTGCTGTGATGGTAAAATGTAAGCACAAAGTACTTAAACTTGATGCTTGGTGTTAACACTAATAAGCACAAGTGAGGCACCTCACCTTAGATGGAAGTAGTAAACTCTTCTGCTCAGAAAGTAGCTTTAGTTAGGTGGAGATTTTCTCATGCTATGAACCACAACCTCTGTTCTAGCAAAATTTATTTCCTTTCTCTGTCTTAAAGGTTCTTCATAATTAAGGAAAGTTTTCTGCTTTACTATGCTGAGAGTGAGAAGAAGAGTTTTGAAAGCAATAAATACTTCAATATCCACCCCAAGGTGAGCAGCATTTGCACAGGGAGGGGGTTATTCTCTTTCTATCTCCTCCCTCCCCTTCCTCCATGGACCCAGAAAGTGAAGAAGAGATAAGTCACAGACTTCACCCAGACCCAGGGAAGCCTCAAAAAAGAAAGAATCATATCAGTACCTTTTCAAGATACTTAATGATTCAGCAGTTACATGACTTCTGTATTTTTTACCTAACAGTAGATGTATCCCCTTGTTTTCATGATCTCCTAAACAACTAATCTTATGACTGTAAAAATACTGACAAAAGCTGACAGCTTCGTTTGCTGCTTATTCCTAACCTGTACTTGCACTCATTAGCATCTGATAACCCACATGCCTTCAGTTCTTAGGAGTGGCCTCCATAGCTCTGCTGCCTGGAGATCTCACATAGGGGCCTTGTGCTCTGAGTCTGCTTTTGTCCTCTGTGGTCACTGGAGGCTGATGAAGCACACATGCTTCCACAGGTGCTGATTGCACACATCCTGATTAGCAGCAGCCAGCTGCCCATCTGCCCCCCACACAGCACATGTGGGGTGTTGACCTACTGGTGGTGACTGCAATGGATGCACAGCCTCTCTCATGATACCACACTGTGAACCTGCAAAATTCGCCCCTGTTGGGAGATCACCTCCTCCTTGATAACAGAGTTCCTGCTTCTGTGTTCTAGCTAGCAGTCTTCTCTCTGTGATGAATACAGGACTGCCATCTTCACCCCCTTTCAGATACCAGTTGGGGGGTTTCCTGGTGGTGGTGGGAGTCCCTCTGCTTTTCAGAAACTGTGTGTATTGCCCCTCCTGGTGTAGCCAAGGAAGGGCAGGGCTCCACAAGTGACCAAGGGTGAAAGTTCAGCTCCTGGTTAGTTAATAGTTATACTTGATTTTACTGACTGATTGGAGTGCTCTGGTTTATCCCTAGGGTGTCATACCCCTGGGAGGCTGCATCGTGGAGCCCAAAGAAGAGGCCAACATGCCTTATGCCATAAAAATCTCTCATGAAGACTTCCATGTAAGTAGATTTCTTTTCTTCTAAAAACCCCCAAACACCTCAAAACATGTTAATGCTGATGAGCAGAGCTAGATTGGCAGTCTTTTCCCTCCCCACCAAGGTATGCCTACCCTCTCTGGGCAGACTATCCTGAGAGAGAGGGTGGCTTAGCATCTCAAGTCCCCTCAAGTTTTTGCTGCTCCTGCTTTGACAACCAACAAGAAAACTTGCACTTTCTGACACCAGGTTTTATGCTACTAGCAGACCAGTAGACAGATACTCAGGAGCCCTAGAGCTCATGTTGCCCTATCATTTTATTCCTGCCATGACTGTTTGCCATATGCACACTTTCCAGTGTGTGGTAGACCTGGGTCATATTTGCTACCATGTGATGCTTCCTGTGGAGGTGGAAGACTATGGTGGGCTTTCCTCTCTCCACAGCTGTGCTATCTGTGTTCAGTTCACGCCCTGAGTGCACAGAGGTGCATAAGGCACCAGCCTCTCTAATCTGGGTTTTTTCTCCCCTCCCCTCTTCCAGGGTAACATTGTTCTAGCAGCTGAATCAGAGTTTGAGCAGGCTCAGTGGCTGGAGATGCTACAGGAGTCTGGAAAAGTGTAAGCTTCTTTCTATTCCTTATGCAGTTTGATCTGTTCTGTAGATGTGTAAAGGATAAAGAGGAAGAAGCCTGACTAGAAGGACTATGGCAAGTCAGACAAGCTCCTCAAAACTAGTGAGAGCTTAACTTGTCTCTTGAACCTATCCTTTCCCTAAATGGGAATGCTCTAAAGCTGACACAAAGCTTCCTACCTTGGTAGGCAGTGTGGTATGCAGTATGGCTCTTTGCTCCCAACCCCAGGCTGTCATCTGTCAAATGCTGAGGTAATGAGTGCCCTCTGCTGTCCTCTCTTGCCTCTGAAAGGTGGGACCTGGGCCTGAATGGGAGCCCTTCTGGTCCATTCTGTGTGGGTAGCAAGGTCTGTGGGCTTGACAAAGGTGAGGGTCAGAAAACTTCCCTGTTTGAATTTGGGGTAAAGTACGAGCAGAACAGGCAAGGCGCAAAGCTTGTGAGCAGCTGTCCATGTGGCTCTACATCCTGCTAGGGGCAAGGACCTCACCAGCACAGTACTGGTCATGCTGAGATGTCAGTAACAGCCTTGGAGAAATTGTGTGTCCTTAGAGTGTGCATCCCTTCTGCTCAGATCTCAGGGTGCTCAGGCCACACAGCAGCAGGATTTGGCCTCTCAAGACATTTAATTCTGAAATGCAGAGGCAGGTTAAATCCCAGGACAGGAGGTGTTAGCAAAGCATTTCCAACCCACCTACAGAGGGGAGAGGGTTTGACTGCTGTATGCATACAATACTGAGCTCACAGTCTGCTGAGAATGCTGGAGAAAGATTTGCAGTTTGTTGGCCTCCATTTCTGCAATCCCTCAGCACCCAGGAGCTTGGCAGTGCAAGGAGCAGGTGTCTTGCAAAACCAGAGCAGGCTCCTTCTAAATCTCAGCTGGTGCAGAAGATGTAACACTTAAACAGGGATTTGACTTTCCCAAACCAGGTATAGAAACTTCCTGAGTAGAGCAGAGCCTACTACTCACCTGTGAGGCTTAAAGCAATGAGCGCTTTGGTCTGCCCTTCCTGGCTGCATTACAGTGTGTGTATGTGGTCTCTTGTCACTATAGGGACAGATGATGTTCTGTTTGTAATAACAGTGTGTACATGGTAAAGGCAGTATCTCAGTTAATTTCAATGTTGTGAGGCTCAACATGTTAATTTGTATTAATGAGGAACCAATTTTATGGTGGATCAGCACAAGCCAAGCTCTGTGCTACTGCAGTGTGCCTGGCTTGGCTGCTGGGGCAAGCTATAGTGTATGAACTGTAACATAAAGCTGTCCATTAAAGTTTCATGGGAGCAGGAGTCCCATGGGACACAAGACCCAAGGCAGAAGTCTGTCACCCACTCAGCACAAGCAGACTTGACCACTGCAGGGAAGAAGAGGCACAGATTTAGCCCTTGAGCAATCTGGAGTTTTTTATTCAGTTAGCACAGGCCTGCATTTCCCTTCACCAGTGTTAAGCTAAATTATTGCCAAGGGCAATAATTTGGGACCAAATTCATCTTTCAGGTGTGTACAGGAGGGAAGGAGCATGGCAGCACAGCTCCAGAGGTGTGCTCACAAGCAAGCCCTGCACGACTGTGTATGTCAGAGAGCCAACCTTTTCTTTAGTCCTTGCTTCAATATTCCAGCAGTAGTGTTTAAAAGAGAAGCTAGACAGTGGCTGCTATCATATAGCAGACTACCTGCACCTAGCTGAAAATCTACCTGAGACACCCCCTTCCCTCCCCTCTCTGCTTCTGTTCTGGCATCAGAGGAGAGCAGTGCAGCTCCAGTGCCAGCCTCACCTGTGCTGAGAATAGCCTGCACATCAGGAAAAGCATAGATTATGTGGTTTATGCTAGCAGGGTCATGTTGGGAGCTAAGCAGTGGTCAGAAAGGCCAGCATGGGCCAGTAACTTGATCTGCAATGAACAGGAAAGCTAAAAAGATAAAGATGAAATATTCTAGACAACCTGTTTGAGTGCCCTGTTGTTCCTAGATGGAGACTGCACTGCCGGTGGCACTGCAGCACTTAGTTGTAGTCATCCTGCCGTCTCCCTTATTATTTAAAACCAACCAAAGGAAAAAAAAAACCACATAAACATCCTCAAAAAAACCCTAAAATGAATTCCATAGAGTGAGATACAGAAATAAGGGAAAGAGGAAAAAATTAACCCAATCTGGAAATGTCCTCTATCCTCTCTCCTTTGAGTCAATTTTGTCTGCTGTCTCTTTACATCTTGGTTGGGGAGGGGGGGGGTGTGCCTGCACAACTGCTTATTACCTCTACCATCATAGTCTGCTCAGTGATATCTTCAGCTCTTCACTCCTTTCCAAGAATCATGGTTTGATATGGAAATGGCTTATTCAGTACCGAGGGGAACCGATGATCTCTCCACCCTTCTAACGTGTTGTGGCTTGGACTTACCACACTTGCCAGATCTGGAAAGCTTTTTGGAAACGCACAAAGCCCTGACTCCTAGACCACCAGGCTCTCTTCCCACCCAAAGAGGCTTTTTTCTTCTGCTAGTTAGGGAGAGGGGCCCACCTAACACTCTCTCTGTCCACAGCTCTCTTCACTGAGCGTTCCCTGAATTCGTTAAAAGTAGACTTCGTGGGCAACAGAGGGGGCAAAAATAACATAGAACATATGTCCTGTGGACCATGAAGTGCTAAGTGTCTCCAAAAGTTGCTTGTGGCTGCTCCCAAGAAAGGTAAAATGCAGGCAAAACTAGAGAGATGTTCCCAGTGCTGCAAAAGGACCGGAACAGACAATGGTTGAGATGCATAACACATGCAGATAACTATAAAGCTTTGGGGGTTCTTTTCTTAGTAACCTTTGAGTTACAGACAGGGAAACATCTTGTTAGACTGGGGAAGGGAAAGGGCCCTAGAAACACGAATCTAATAAACAGACACCTTAAAGGCTACAGCTGTTTTGAAACTCTCCATGTAATCATATGATAAACTCTGTTGTCCCCCCCACTCCCCTCTTGAGATCTTTTGCTGTTGGCTTCTCTGGGATCATATTCATCTTGTATGAGAGAAGGTTAGTGAAAAAACATATTCGCACCCAGATGTTCTCCCTCAAGATGAAGATGTCTACCTGTGGGCAAAACAGCACCTTTTTAATTAGTGTTCTAATTTCCTCTGCGCTTTAGAATGATCCTTATCAGCTGAAAAGAAGCCCAGCTATCTGCAAGGAGCACAAGACAGTGCTTGGGCTGCTGGTGCTGTGAGCTGCCTGGTCCCTGGGGTGGCACGTGTTTAATTTATTTGTCTGTCTTTTGTAAGAGACGAAGTACAAGTTGCCTTGAAATGGTTATATAAAAAGGTTGCCAACCTAATGGTTTCCAAAAAGCTACAATTTCAAATGGTTTACAAAGTGGCTTGGTACAGGAAGGCTTACAGATATTTAATATTAATAAGCTCCCTCAGGATTTAACAAAGACACTAGAATTTCTGGGCAGCAACTGCTGTTCCTGTATGTACATCTATATAAATAGATTAGGAACAATTTTATGTATGTTTTAATGTTATGCATTTTTTTGTGTGTTGATATTTTTTTTTCTAATGAAACACCAATAGAAGTGAGCAGCAAGCTCCATTGTTGGTTCTGTTTTTGATTTGTGTGTCTTTGTCCATGGTATTTAATATCTGCGTTTAAGCCTATCCTGCCCATCAACTCAGTCAGTAATGGGCATCTGCTCCACAGGCCTTTCTTGTAGCTTAGCTTCATAAAGTGTTTAAGTGACCTTGAGATCCTCTTGCCAATGGTCCTAAAATAACACAAGATGCTCTTTGAATATGCCTACTTCCTTTAACATTCTCTACTTGCCAGCATCTAATCTGGCTTTTATCTCTGGTTCTTCTTTGGTTTTACAGGAAGAGGCACTTAACTCACAGTGTAGGACCAGACACCAAGTCCTAGTGGCTTATAAGTAGCAGAGGAGGGATTGATTGATTCCAGGGATACCAGAAAGACTGAAGATAGAAGGCTATGGGAAGAATTCAATAGATGGTTAATGTTTGAAGGGGAAGAGTGACTCTAACAGCAAAATACTGGAACGGTTGCAGAAGACAATGTTGTTAGCAGTAGGAAGTTATTTGAGTTAAAAGCTAAAATCTGGTCCTAAAGTCTGTCAGGATCCATTTAAAGGGTTCCAGATGCATCCTGTTGCAGTTGGAGGCTGTGGATGTGCTGAATTGGTCTGGAGAGTCCTTAAGCTTAAGATCAGTGTAGGAATCTCCAAAACACTGAAAAATAACATTTGAATAGTTGTGAGGTGTTAACATACAGCTCATGTATTTAAAAAAGAAAAAAATATTACCTAATGTCAGGGAAATTTCTCCAATTCATTTGTGGAGAAAAATTTAGAGAATCACTGTCCCAAATGATGAAAGTCTGCATGTTTGAATTACTTGGTGGCTTGCTAGGCTGAGACCCCTGTCTCAATCTGTAGGACCCTTAGCTCCTTTACATTGCCTGCTTTGTGTCTGCTCTCCCTAGGACATGGAAGAATGCCCAGCTGGGAGAAGCTATGATTGAGAGCCTGGAAGCCCAAGGACTGCAGCTGGCCAAGGAGAAACAGGAGTATTTAGGTAGGAAACTCTTACTTCCAAAAGCCATAAACCCCAAAATAGCCATTTTGCTTTTCCTGGAGTTGTCAGTGTGGTCAAGCCAAGCAGCTACAGGTTTTTACTGTACAAAACCTGTTTTTACAGGTTTGACTGTTACTGGATGAAGCTTTTCAGTAATCAGCAGCTGAAATTCAGGTTTGAAGGGGGTCAAAACATGCAATGGTTGAGATAGGATTTGGACATCTGTTTGGAGTGTGAAAACAAGAATGTGCTTTGGCCAACCTGCTGCAGTCTCATGGCTGGTCTGTACAAATGTTTGCTGCCCCTGAGATATTTGGATGTGCTGGTTTCAGCTGCTTACCAGGCAAATAGCCAATACCTTTGTCTCCCTGAATCACACAGGACTGATACTTCTGAGGCTGATCACAGCTTTTCATGCATGAGTTTTCTTCAACTAGCTGGGGGTTTTTTTGGTCTTACTCTATTTGATCTTTGTGTTTGCTCACACTCTTCATATTGAAAGTGGGAGCATTTACATGGGCTTGCTTGAGGTGTCTAATGGCAGTGGCTAATTTGTCAGTGCTGTCTCCATGGACAATGCAGAGAGAACAGTTTGTCCAGATGAACATAGAATAATGTAGGTGGAAAGAGACTTCTGTAGGTTATCTAGTCCAATCCCCTTCCAGATTCTGGATGGCAATACCTTGGATGCTATGACTGCCTTGGGAGGTCCAGCTGTCTCTTCCCTGCATTGACCATAGCAAGAGCCAAGGGAGAGTAACCATTTTAACCCAGATGCCCTCCATGTTAGAGCATTCGAAGAGCCCTTTTGATCTGGGGGCTGCTGGTCATGTGTGGGCCCAGTGACTTGTCTGGACAGTCACCTGCTTTAAACAAGCTGGCAGCAATTTGGGTGCTTCAGGTTAGTGATGCCTTGAGCAGAGGCTCATAGTATCTACTCCTAATCACCAAGCTACTGAAGGAATCTTGAAGAACTTTTTGCACTTTTGCATCCATGATGATCAGGGGTGATCTCACATGCAACAGTGATAATAATTCAAGTATCAAGGCATGTTGATTCTGGCCATCTAAGCTCCATTCACACATGTGAGTTGATGGATGGGCTTGTATGTGAGGCAGGGAGGGAGAAGCAGCTCCACGTCTGACAAAGGGATAATGGCGAGTGCTGAAAGGAGTACCTGGAGGGACAGGAACAGGAGGAAGATTAGAAACAGGAAAACTTTGTCAAAACATTATTTTGCAACCACCAGAGCAGACTAAAGAGCCTAAAAGACTGAAGAGGTCTTTAGTACAATAAAAGACAAAGTGATGGAAGAATAGAAGAATATACATTCTGTGGCAAACAGGAGATATTTGGAATATAAAATATATATTTCACTGAGTTCTTTGGTCCTTGACAGGAACATTCAGAGCTGGTCAATTGTCACAATTGGTTACTTTCTTTTGACAGCAACTGTCTATTTCAATATAACTACTGAGGCTTCTGCCTCATTAGCCTTACCTTCAATGATCTGTGTCCATCTCTAGTTAAAACTTTGAGGTCAGACACTGTTCCTGGCAGGAGGTCAGGGTTCTCTGGAGGAAGCAAACACTGCTTGGGGGAATTCCCTGAATCCACACTGAGTGGATCCCACCTTCCTCCCACCTGGTTAGGATCCAGGTTTCACTCTCAGACATGGACTTTACAGAGGGCCATCAAGTCCAGGGCTTGGGCCCCCTAGGAGGGGCAGAAGGGGGAAGGTGGAAGAGCCTCTGTGTAAATACAGTGCATCCGTGCTGGGTCCTGGCCAGGAGAAAGAGGTCAAGAGTGGAAAGGAAAGGCAGCAGTGGTGGTCAGCAGAGCTTTGGTAATGTAACACTCTTTCTCTGGCAATGGGAGCCCTGCTGTGGGCAGGAGGTGAAATCTGCATTCCTCCTAGCAGTAGTACTCCTGCCAGCGGTAGTAATCTCATCAGGTCTCCAGTACCAGGGAAACCAGTAGCATCCCACTCACCTGATAGGGGGAAAATTTAATCTAAAAGTGCTGCAGTGAATCTGCCCTGCTCACATGGTAGCTTGGTGGCAGAGCTGGGAGCTAAACCTTAGGCTTAACTGTGAGGAGTGTGTTTCTGTCTGGCTTCCTGTAAGTGTGACCAAGAGCTACCTGAGGGAGAGCCTTTGAGGTTAGGGCATAGCACAAGGGCAGGCCGCAGGGTAAGGAGCAGAGCAGGGCCTCTAGTGGGTGTGTATCTTCAGTAGACAAGAGCAGCTGATGTTGAGGGGAACTGCTCTGTATAGCAAAACTTTTGTGGCTAGGTTAGAAGACTGATTTTTGGCCTTGGCTGGAACATCCCAAGGTGACAGTAGGGAGCTGGCAGTGATGCCCAGAGGGCTAAGGAGTAAGGAGAGGATGATGTGCTAGGCAGGTGGGGATGAGGCACTGAGCTGCAGGAGAACTGACTGCTGGTACCTGGTGTGTGACCCTGTGCACCCACTTAACCTTTCTGTGCCTTTGTTTCCTCATTTGTGAAACAGAGATAAGAATATTTTCCTGACTCAGCTAGAGGATAGTGGAGGTTAGTTCATTAATGTTCTTTAAGAGCACTGAGAGGAAACCTTAGAAGGAGTACACAGCAATGTGGTTGTTTAGTTTATTCAGTTATTTGGCAGGAGGGAAGTTACAGAACATCCGATTACGTGCCATCTTAGACTTTGGAGCCTCTCAGACAGATGCACACAAAGGAATAGGGAATGCTTCAGAAAGTCAGTGTTTCATGTTTGTAAATATCCCCAGGATATAAAATGCTTTTCTCTGTGCTTTCTCTGGCCTTTGTTTGTGTGCTTGCAGATAAGCTAATGGAGGAAACAGAAGAGCTATGCCTGCAAAGGGAGCAAAAAGAGGTGAGTGTTCATCCCAAGCCAATTTCCTTTAAATTCCATGTGGTAGGACTGGGATTTTGGGAGTTGTTGGTTTGAAGGCATGTCAGGGTTCAGAGAGAGGGGCTTGTGGAGCCACAAGAGTCTCCAGCCAAACTCTGGACCCCATGGATGAAGAGAGGAATAAGACTTGTGCCATGAGATGGGTCTTGGGGTTGTACCCTTGCTCCCTTTCCCTGTTATTTTCCATGCAGCGTGCTTGTGATTATATCTGCAGGAGGACCAGGGAGGAAAATGAAATAAAATTCATATTCACTGGATTGAATGACACAATTGTTATTTGGCAGAGAAGACTGGCAATCAAGACTTGTCTCCACAGTTAGAAAGCAAGTAAACAGACCTGACATGGTTCCAGTGTAGAGATACTGTTGTGAGAAACAAGGAGCAGAAAAAGCAACATGGTTTGTTTTTTGGGCACACCAGAGACGGGGAGAATAATAAATATTGCACGAGAGAAAAACCAAGAGAGCACCCCTAAGAGGTGACTATGATACCTTAATTTATCTTAGAATCATAGAATGGTTTGGGTTGGAAGGGGCCTTAAAGATCACCTAGTTCCAGCCTCCCTGCCACAGGCAGGGACATCTTTCACTAAACGAGGTTGCTTTATCAAGTTTATAATTGTTGTCTTGTTGATACCACCTAAGGAGTCTTTCTGCTGTGCCTTTTGCAACCAGACTTGTCTATCTCGCATTGGCCTATTTAGTCACCAGCGCGTTTGTAGCAAATGTGGGTAGAGCCCTTCCCAAATCTTCATTTGCGAAGCCCAGCCATGAGATGAGATGAGAATTGTTTTCCAAACTATTCCTAACTTATGGTTGCTTAATATAGTAAGAGTAGTTCATTCTCACATTTCCAGCATAACTATACTGATTTTTATAGCACCATCATAAAGTCATTGCAAGATAACTGTGCAAATGGATTGTCCTATTACACAGTAGAAAAGTCTGCATGGATGTAGAATACCACGTTACAACCTTGCAAAGTGCCTCATGTTCTATTCCAGTTAATCCAAAACGACCATTGCCCCTCTTTAGGAAAAGACGGCAATGCTGACCTTGGCTTCTCAGGCCTATATTTTTCTTGTATACATTTTTGGGGAGCTAAAGTCCAAAGATAGCTTGGACTCTCCTTTAGGGCTAAGCTACTTCTGCCTTTACAGGGAGACATCCCCTTCTGGTGAAGTAGCCTGCTGCACAGCCCACAGCCATGGGGAGGGAAATGCCCTTGTCTGAAGATCCTGGAACAAATCTCTGCTATTAAAAACCATGCACAGTAACTCCATTGCCCACAAAGAGCAGATGGGGCCAGGTTAGTTTGAAGGAGTTTGGTACTGTGAAGAACTGAATGTAGAGCTCACTGAGCTGTGGCAGTCTGACCTGTTGAGAACCTGAAGGCTCCAAAGAAGTATGTTGGGAAGGAAGCTTGAACATGTATCTGCACCATGGAGCGAGACTCTTAATATTAATTTACTCAGTGTCAGTGCTGTTTTTTGAGTAGCCTGGGCCTGCAACAGCTATAGCTGCAAAGGGACCTATCCGGGAGCAGGACCCTTGCTGTATTTTGTCCCTGTCTTTCTCCATCTGCAGTAGGTCTCAGTACAACTGCTGCCTCTAGACCAGGGGAAGAGGCTGTTTCACTGCTTGAGGACAACTTGTATTTGGTGCTCTTTAAGCATGGTTCTATCAGCACAAAGATAGTGACAGGCTGATTAAACTCTGCAAAGCTGTAACTGAACAGTTTGTGTTTTCCTGCCCCAGTGGGGGTGGAGAGCAAAGCAGAGCTAGTAGAAAAATCGCACTTAAGGCACAGCAATTCTGGGGCTGTCACACTCCTTCAGGACTATCTATACCTGAACATGTGAGTGCCTGGAAATGGTACATACACGTGGACTCCAGCATTCCCAGGGACCTTCTGTATATATGCATCAGAGCTGACCTGTGCAGAGAGCATGTCTGGGATTTTCATGTGCTTTGTAACCTGGCTGGGGCTTATGGATGTCTGAAAATCCTCAACTTACTTCAAATCCCTTCTAATTGCTCCTGGACAAAAGCATGGTGTGATCAGACGCCTTGTGGCTCTACATAGGTCGGGTTAAATGCCAGGTTTAAAGTCCCAGGCACTGTTAACAGGGAAGCCTTGCCTAACCATGTAGGCAGAGTACATTCCTGTCTTTTTTGGTCCAGGAACTTGAGCGTCTGAACCAGATGCTGGAAGCAGAGAAGCAGCAGTTTGAAGAGGTGGTGCGGGAGCTGCGGCTGGAGCAGGAAGAGATCAGACGGTAAGGCAGCAGACTGCAGGGCAGGAAAAGGACAACAACTCCCACACCAGACAAAAGTGTCACTGTGGTGGTGAATCAAAACAGTTTGTAAAATCCACCTATTTTTGTGTGTGTAGGAAGGAGAATAGATGCTATATTGACCAAAATAGGAATGGCTGTGGGCTGTTTACCTGCATTTGCTATTGCTTGTGTGACCAATAGAATACAGCTTAGTTTCATTTTGCATTCAGGGCTCCAGCAATTTATTTTCAAAGGGCTTTCATATTGGTTGGGGAAGCATGGCAATGGAGGTGCTAGAGAGGATTTCAAAGAGGCAATTACTTTGATTGGCTGACCAGCCCTGTGGGGTCCAGACATATGGATCTGGTTTTCCACCATCAGCTAAATGACAATGGGTGGATGATGATGTTGCCTTACCAAGAATTGTTTTGTTATTTTAAGAATTACACTATGCAAAATGTAACCGGAGAATGTATTTAGAAAGAGAAGGATCAAAATGCTTTGCCCTGAGTGTTGAAAGGGCTGTTTAGCCATTGCTCTCTTTTTTTTTTGTTTTCCTTTTCTCTCCCTAAATAACATCTCGGTGTGATTTTGCAAACCATTTTTGTTTTCATAGACAACCTCTGCTTAAATATGACTGCCTTGTTTGAACTCTTCCAGTTTTAACCATGGTCCTGTCCTTGCTAGAGAAGCACACTGACAGTTCAGTTTGGTTTGATGATGAGGAGGCACAGTAAAGTTCCTGAATGCCCGTAGTGTGTTCAAGACAGGATGTGATGCTTCCTGGCAAGCTCCTGACTCTCCAGGACTGCCTTCACCCAGAGATCCACAGCCTGCGCAGTCTGAGCGTGGTCTGTGGGGCTAGTGTTCCACTGCAATACCTGTTCCCCCTTTTTGCTTCTTTAGGGAGCTAGAGCTCACAGCCCGCTCCCTTAAAGGAGTGGAGGAAGAAAAGAAAGAGTTGCGAAGCCTGACGCAGTCCTTACAGAACACCCTGGAGGTGAGTGACCACTTCTCACCTCTGAGTGACAGCATTTTAGTGTGCTATGGAATGAATCTAATATCTGCTAGCACCAAAGTTAAGTCCTGTACAGATGAACAGGTCCATTTGGTAGCTGGTATGAATGCCAAAATCCCCCACAGAAAAGGATGAGAAGTGATACAGACCCCAGCAGAAGCAAAATTTTCTCAGTCATAGCAGGTGACGTGATGATATCAGAAAAACCAAAAGTTGCAGTTTGGGAAGCTCAGGTTGAACACCAGGGAGAGAATTTTCACCAGAAGGATAGGCAGGCAGTGGGAGAGCCTGAGGAAGCTTCATCATGGAAGGTTTTCACAACTGGACTGTAGGAAACCACATCTGACCATATCCTACTGTGCTGGCAGACCAGCTCTGAACAGGAGGTTGGACTTGAGCCTGCTAGAGGGTCCCTCCCAGCCAACATGGCTGTAAGTCATGTACTCTTTTTTTTTTTTAAACTGCAACTCCCTAAGTTCTGGTGGAAATTGGAGCGGGAGAAAGGCATTCCTTGTTCACAGAAGAGAGCATGGTGTTCCCAAGGAATCCTGTACCACATGGGAATATAGGAAAAGGAATATTGATGTATTGAAATCTTTCCTTACTTGGTATCGCTCTGGTGGATTTGTGGAAAATGCCTTTTCTAAATGCACATTGTTTGTGAGATTTTAATACAGCCAGCCTTTGGAAGCCTCAAGGTCATTCTTAATGTTTGTGTCAGATGCTGCAAGTTTGTCCAAAAATCTGTTCCTTTGAGCTCTTCTCCTTGCCTGAAGTTATGGGAATGCAAAAAGAACTGGAAAGCTATTGAAGGACTGTTCATGCTCTAGTTGCACACTGAACCAAACACTTCACAGGCAAACAGCATGATATGTCTTATTGCCCTGCAGTTAGAAGTACCACAGAGGGGATGCCTCCAGTTCCCATTGAGGAGCAAGCCAAGCAGGGAAGCGGGCTGCATCTGTGATGCACTAGGGAATCACAAGGCTCCAGTCCCTGAATTGTGTCCTTACTGGCATATCACATCAAAGGAGCCTGCAGGTTCTCTCCCCCTTCATAGCAAAGGCTATGGTGGAGGCTTGCTCCTCATGAGGCAGGTATGAAATGAAAACCTAATTTTGTTATTCGTGTTTTTAACCTGAATGAGGCATGTAAGGGTGGAGGGACTCAATAGGGAAGAGCCAGGCAGGAACAGGAGCAGAAACATTAGACTTAGCTGATATTCACAATCTCTGTCCTTCTTCAAGGAGCTCTCCCTGGAAAAGCAGCAAATGCTGGAGATGCTGGAAGAAAATGAGAGCCAGGTCCCACCTCCAACCAGCCCCAGCAAAGAGCAAAGCCCCATCTGGGGACTGCACTGCAGCCTGCGACAGATTGAAGAGAAGATGCAGCAACTTCTGCAGGAGAAACTCCTGGCAGAGAAGAGGTGAAGTGGGGGCAGGGGTTCTTGAGGTGGTATCAGGAACAAGATGTGATCCAGTGTGAGGAGGGTGGTGTGAAAAGAGGTAGTTTTTCCCCTTGCAGGTGGGAGGCATGGGGTTGTGGCTAAATATTTGCAGGTTTAAAATGATATCACTTCAAAACAGTTTCCCTGTTTATCCTGAGACCTGCAGATAGCCAAGATCCTTTATAATTTCCATTCTTGGATGTGGTAAAGGGAAGAGGGCACTTCTGCCCTCCTCAGGCTTAGGGGTGGCAAATGACGTGACTGTCTGCTGACTTGCTTTTTCGTTGCCAAAACAAGACAAGTCTGGAAGATTGTCCGGTTCCCATGGCAGGAGTTTAGGGTACAAACACTTCAAAGGAGACAGGACTGCTGAACTTCTTGCTCCCGGTTGGGCCTTCTCCTTTCAAACCAGGATTTGGGCACGTGAAGGTGTTCATGGCCTGTCCCTAAGGAGTGTTTGGTGCTTCTGGGCCTCATCTGGGGGTTGAGAGCATTCAGTTCAAGAACTGTCCACCTGGCTTTCTCCAGCAATGCCTGTATTATTGGAGTGAAGCACAGACAGTGCTCCTCTTAGCACCTCTTTGCTCAGGACAGCCAGATAGTTAAGCATGCCCAGTCACGATACTGAACCTCTTTCCTTCCTGTCAGTTGTGCTGGGGTGGGAATGGTCATCTTTCTTTGCTGTGCCATGCATCAGGATGAAGGAGAATGAGGAGCGGTCCCGAGCACTGGAGGAGGAGCGGGAGTTTTACTCTTCCCAGTCACAAGCACTGCAGAACTCACTGTCGGAGCTGACTGCAGAGAAGCAGCAGGCAGAGAGAGACCTCAAGGTATTCCCTGCAAATGTGGTATATTGCTGACCCTGGGCCTAAAGTGCTCTCATTTTCCTTCTCAGTTCATCCCCCATCAAGCCAAACTCTTTGTTTTATTTCGTTTTCATGTTGTGATCACAAATCTTCTTCTGCTGTGCTTCATATTACCAACCATATCCTGGGCTGCATCAAAAGCATCAAGACCAGTAGATTCTGCCCCTCTAGTCTGCCCTTGTGAGACCCCACCTGGAGTACTGCATCCAATTCTGGGGTCCTCAGCATAGGAAGGACATGGACGTGTTGCAATGAGTCTAGAGGAGGATCACAAAGATCATCAGAGGACTGGAGCACCTCTTTTGTGAAGACAAGCTGAGAGACCTTGGGTTGTTTAGGCTGGATAAGAGAAGGCTCTGAGAAGGAAACCTTACAGCACCTTCCAGTACCTAAAAGAGGCTACAAGAGAGCTGGAGAGGGAATTTTTACAAGGATATGTAGTGATAGGACAAGAGGAATTGGCTTAAAACTGAAAGAGGAGAGGTTTAGATTAGATATTAGGAAGAAATTTTTTACTGTGAGGGTGGTGAGGCACTGGAAGAGGTTGCCCAGAGAAGTTGTGGATGCCCCATCTCTGGAAGTGTTCAGGACCAGGTTGTATGGGGCTTTGAGCAGTGTGGTCTAGTGAAAGCTGTCACTGTCCACAGCAGAGGGGTTGAAACTAGATGATCTTTAAGGTCTCTTCCAATCCAAAACACTCTATGACACCATCATAACACATGAAGTTGCCATGTTGTATCTATGTAGCACTACTATTTATTTTCTCATTCTGAAGCCTGATTCAACTGTTCAGTGCAAGTCTTTTAGTTTGCTACTATGCAATCATCATCTAAAGATGAAGGGAAGAAAAAAGTAAAAGAGTAAAGTACAGACGAAAAAGAATAAAGATTATTTCAAAGAAATGTTAACATGGACATTGAGCAGATATCTTCCCTCCTCACTTGTGCTCAGAAAATCAATCTTAAGATGTGTAAATCTTCAGTAACCTCTGCAAGAACTTGAGTTGAAAAGCAGAGGAATGCAGCTGAGGTACCAGCCCTCCTTTGTAACGGAGGATACTTTGTCCAATTACCTTTGCATAGATTAATATATGATATTTTATTTAAATCTAAATAATATAAAGGTTGTGTTTATTGTTGGCTGTTTGACACTTAACCTGCTTATACAAATATTTTGTCCAAAAAACCCCCATTCTTCTTTTTCCTGCACTTCCAATATTTTTTTTAACCTGTAACCTTCCACTTGGCCAAACGGAGGCTAAGTTGACCTAAGCTGTATTAGTCATTCTGATTTGCTAAGCTACTACTTTACTTCTAAATTTCCTTGTGTTTTGTTCCTGAAACTCAGTACTGTACATCCCTTTGTGGGAACTGACTGCCTCTATCTCAAGTCCATCTCAGCTGGAATTATGTCCTCCCTTTCCTGGTCATCTGTAAATATTTGCATTAGCACGAATTCATGTGTTGAAATACCATCTCTGATTCCATATGGTTTATACAATGGGAGGAAAACTGCAGAAAATGAAAGTCAGAGCAAAGGAGAATTACTAAAATAGTCTGACTGAAGACATGAGGAACAACTTTTATGTTGTCTTACAATATTTCTAAGGATTTTCATCACTATTGTCTTTTTGTTTTCACCCATGGTGAGTCCCTCACAGACCTTGTGGGTTACCAGGATGATTATTGAGACACAAGCCAGTTTCCAGCAATTCTTTTTCTCTTCCTCAGGCTGAGGTGAAGGTACGCATGGATCTGGAGAAGAGACTGAGAGAAGCTGAGGAAGCATTGCAGAGCTTGGAGCAAGGCTTAAATTCTCTGCATTGCAACAAGGAGAAAGAGGAAAAGATGAAAGCAGATGTCAGTAACTTGAGAAGTAAGTCAGTCATCCATCCTCTCTCCTGATGAGCGAAGTCTGAGAGAGAAAATATTTCTACCCATCTTTCCAGACACACAAGGAAGATCCTCAATGCACATAATGTGCTCTTCCAACTCCTTGTACCTCCACCACACCTCCCATTTGAGGAGCCATAATGTGCTATGTGGGCACTTGGTATTTTGCCCTCAAAGAAGAGTGAAATTATCCCAGCCTTCTCTGTTGGGTGCAAGACAAACCTAAAGGTAGAGATGATCAAATGCTTTCCAAAATGTCAAAGGGAAGCTGTGACAGAGCTATAAAGACTGACTAGGTCTGAGTTATAAAGTCTTCTAATTCCCCTCAAGACATTATTTTCTCAGCCTTGGTTACAACAACATCAGTTTAAGGAGGACTGTGGTTGCTGTACCAACGTGCTGGTAGGTGACCCAGCAGGTGAAGTTTGGATCCTTACTTGGACCCGAATTACAGCATCAGCACTGCTGTGCTGAGACAGCTGCAGTCCACAGGTCAGGTGTAAGACTCATGTCCTCACAGGTTAACCTTATTTCCTTGCCGTTTTTGTGTTTATCTGGGTTGGAGATTTTTGGGTATTTTGGAGGGGCATTTCCCTAGCATTTGGCTTGAGTTGGGTCTGGGAACTGACGTTAGCAGCTTCAGTTGTATGAAGTCTTGCTTATTTTCCATCCTCAGGTATAGTTTAGGGGGAAAAGGTAGTGAAGATGCTGTATTTGTACAGTTAAGGCTTCATTTCAGTGAAGGGTGGATGTACTGGGCCAATACAGAAAAGTCAAAAAGTCCTATGGCATTCTGAGCACAGTTTACATAGAAAGAATAAAAAGAATAATAAGAAAAAAATAAATACATGTATTAATAGTTTTGTATCTATTCACATATTTATACTTTTTATATATTTAAATACAATAAATATTATTCAGTAGTTTCTACGTAAGATTTCTAAACTGAGGAAAACCAAAATGATTCTGAACTTCATCCCACTGTGTCAGAGCCATGGTAAGAAAACAGAGCTAAAGTGGATGTGTTTGTTGAGTTCAGCATTCAAGTAGAGCTGAGCTACCTGCTTGGGGCATAAGTGAGTAACCTCTGGTACTGAATGTTTCCTGACATTTCCAACCTTAGATTTTGGGGGATGTTTTCTTCAAAAGAGTAAAAATGAACAGAGCACTAGAGAAAATGAGGGACCACCAATGTTTTCCTTAACTTTGGTCCCAGCACAGGTTGCATCAGTCCTTCCAAGTGGTTCCTGCTGCTCTGCCCTGCTCTGCCCTTTCATATAAAAGTTTGGGCACATTAGCACATGATGCCTTTGAACAGCAAAGGGCCAGTGACAGGCAGAAGGACAGCAAGACTGGAATGGCAGAAGAGATGCTGGTTAGACCATAGGGGGGGAAATAGACCAAGAAAAGCAGCCTGTGTGCAGATCAGGACAGAATAACATTGTCAGAGTTTGGACATGGGGCTTTGCTTGGAGCCTATAATGTAAATATCTCTGTGCTATGCTTTTAAGAAATTCCTGGCCATGTATGGCCTGGAGGTGTGTGCCCATGCCAGTGTTGCCAAAACCTCCCTTTCCCAGTTAGACTTGACTGGTTTTAGAAGTCCTTCAAAGAAAGTATGATGAGTGAGGCTTCATACCCTCTGTTGCAAGACAGTTGAGAAGTTTTATTACAGTATCAGCGGCTTTTGGCAGTTGAATCATGAGCAGTTGTGTGAATGATTGATGTGGAATGTTTTGCAGTTCTTTCTAAAATTTGAGTATGCATTTTTTGAGAACCAGAGGTTTTTGTCACTGAAAATGTTCATTTTGATGATGTTCAGGAGCTTCATAGATTGTTGTTTGTGAAGATAATCATTATCTGGCTCAGCCCATTAACAAGTGCAGTCCCTTGTGACTGGTTCATTGCTTGGAGTGTCTGTCCCATCACTCTTACAGTGGTATCTTTTTCTCAGAGTTCTTTGAAGAGTGCATCCGCAATGCCGAGCTGGAGGCCAAGATGCCTGTGATCATGAAGAACTCCGTGTACATCCACAAGGCTGCCACTCGTCGCATAAAGAGCTGCCGCTTCCGCTGCCGGAGAACCAGTACTTCATGGAATGACAGTAGGTATCAGGCAGCTTTTTAATCTGTATTCTGCAAGAGCAGATACATGCAGATGGGGCTGACAGAACAGTAAAGTCTCCAAAGATCATTCTTATTTCATATTCCTTAGTAGTAGAATGGAGCTATAGTGCTACTTGGATCTTCCTTTCCCAGAGGTGAGGCACTGAGCCTGTGTACTTGTTGCCTGTTTCTTTATGTATGTTGAAAGCTAACTGCTGTGATGGTTCTGGGCCCCAGAAAAACATACTTAAATATGACTTCATTGGAATGTTTAATCACAGACTAAGTTAAGTTGGAAGGAACACCTGGACATTGTCGAATCCAATCTGGTGCTTAGAGTGGCTACTTGCAAGGTTAGATTGGGTTCTGTGTAGCACCTCAAATCAGAGGCAGCTGTAAAGAAAAGTGTGTTTCCATGCTGCCAGCATTTTCCTCCTCTGAACACAGTAAGGTAAAGCTGTTAGAGCAAAATGGTTAGCTCATCCCCTGCCAGTGATCACATGGCTTGTGTACTCTAGTGAAGCTTTATCTTCAGTTTGTGTCCCTGATGGAGAGTGCTGACCTTTCTGTGCTGTTCTTGTTTCAGTGAAGCAGTCCCAGTCCTTCATCTTCTCACATGCAGAAGGTGAAAACATTGAAGAGCTGAAAGAAGCAGCCAAAAGACTGAGCCGGGACCAGCGCTTCAGGAAAACTATCTATCAAATCATGAGGTCACAAAAGGATTCTGCTTCAGGGAACAAAAAGTGACTCTTCTTGGGAGGGGGCTTCTGAGCTCAACTTGCCATTCAGCTCTGCAAAAGTTACGCCCTTAGGCACTAGGGTCAGAAGGGAGATTTGCCCTTTGGTGGGGAAAGTGGGGTAAAGTTGTGTGTAGGCAATCCCCTCAGTTAGTGGCTTTGCTTTCATTTGAATGCTCCCTGTAGCCTGGCAGGCCTTCTCTACTGATCACTCCAGATCTGTTTGCTTCAGCTGCTTACATTAAGGCGTGTTTTGCCAAGATGCCACAGTCAGTGTTAAAACGAACCACAGACCATAGGTTAAGAAAGGCCTCTTCTTTCCTTTCCTATCTAGTCTGTCTGCCAAACACAAGTGCTTCTGAGAAAGCCCTTTATCAGCCTATGTTCCAGCTAGTGTAACCTCCCCAGCTGGACACAGCTTACCCCTTTCTGCCTGATCCCCTCTAGGAAAGGGCTCGCTCCATACCCCCAGTCAATCAGCACTTCTGTGGGGCACAGGCTGAAAACTACAGCAGTCCCAGCATCCCAAGCACAGGCAAAAATATCAAACACAGGGCAACTTCTTGTCTTGATGCTACAGCATTTCAAGCAAACAGCAGCAACACAAGGTGAAGACAACCTGAGGATGCTGTGGATTTGGCTCCAAGGAGGATCATGTACGGAGAAGAGCTCATAGGTAATTCAGTGGCATGGATGCAAGCTGGAGGGAGGGTTGTGTTGTGTTGACTGTGGGCAGAACATTCTGGAGCCACCTTTGCATATTTTTTGCACTGGGACATCTAGCTGTGTTGGAACAGATATGTGCTGCAGATGTTATCTATAGGCAGCATCAGTGTAGAGAAGCCCTTGACTCAGTCCTGATGGTTTCATCAACACCTCTGTAAAACAAGTTGGAGGGCAGGAAAGTGAGGACTGTCCAGCAACAAAACCCACTACCACTTCAAGAATTAAACATTGTCAGCAGCAAGCTCCTACAGGGCTGTAGAGGTGTGGAAAGTCACCAGAGGAGAAGGGTTGATGCTGGGTGGAGGAGTATACTGTGAGGGTGTCATGCTCCTGAATGGAGTCACTCTGGTGTGACCAGAGGAAAAGCATTGAAAGCACAGCCTGTACTTTCCATTTCAGTCAGTCACTGACCAGTATCCTTCTGCCAGGCAATGGGAGGTTTTAAAGAATCAGAAGATCCAGCACTGAAGGCTGACATTTTTGTGATGATTGATAGGTGGTGTGGTAGGAGAAGAGAATTTCCAACCTTCCTTAGCATACCTGATCCTTCTGTGTTGTTTCCACTTGTGCTTGCATGCTAGAAAGCCACAAATGAATTCTGGCTCCTACAAGGCTGAAGGGCTGTGAGAAAACAATACAGAGCTGGTTTTCCCCTTTATGCTATTCTCACATCATCTCTAGCTATTTTCCAGTTACAATATCTATATTATATGATGCTAGTAGGGACGGAATAAAAGACAGCCAGGGAACATATCTGTAATTCAGGCAGTTAGGAAAATCATCTTGTGGGTTGGAACGCAGGACCTTTGTTGTATTACCATCAAAGCCACAATATCAGACTTTACAGAAGTATTGTACACAGGAGGTAGCCACATCAGGTCTTCCTTAACTGTGCATATTGACAGCAATAAATAAATAAAAGTTATGCTGACACTAGAATGAATTCCTGTGTGTTCTTGATACACTGTCACTGAAATGATGTTAAATTGTCTCTGCAGGAGTTCAAATAAATTCTGACACACTTATTTACTGCCAGTGCAATTCCTCTGCTTCACTGAGTTTTTGTGTTATGTGGTGCATGTGAAAAGCTTTCACCTTTGCTACCCACTGCCACTTTTAAATGTGTAAAAAGTTAAAGCACCAGCCATCTCTCTGTGTAACCAGCAAGGCATGCCCTAAGCCACCTGTGATGAGGTGCTTGCCATCAGTCATTCTTTGCTGCACTGCAATCTACTACCACGGTCAACATGGAGGTGGGTCTATGCACCATAGTATCTTAATTAAGTTACTCTCTCCTTATTCTGGTTAAAAGGACACAGAAATTATTGATTTCAATGTTATCCGTGTATTTTTAATACAATGCAGTAACAGGAGGATGGCTTACGGAGCAACCCACGTCTGTTCAAACAACTTCCACTAGTAATTCTTGGTTAGATTGCTTTCTCCTCCTGGGAAATGAGATGAGAACCTGGGAATGAGATGAGAACTCCCTCCACTGAGAGAGTTGTCTAAATTGTTTTCTCGTGTCTGAGGATAGGAGAAAATATAGGATGGTTTGCACTTCTAAGATTTCACTTCTGAAGTTGCAGAACAGCTAGATTGTGGCCATTTTTCCACCACCTCCACCTTCTGGCTAACATCTGGGAAATTCTCTTCTGTCTTCCCTGTTGTCCCTTTCAGAGACACCTTAAAATCTGTGGACACTGCCAAATGTGAAGCCTTCTGATTCTTCTCTGCATTGTCTTGCCTACTTTTCACAGTGTGGTTCCCATTAAAGTTTAACTAACCAATTTAAGGGTTAATTTCATCCTCCTTGTAAGACACACAGGCTCTTTCAGTCTCTAATGAGGTAGAGGGATTCCTTGCAAAGGCCAGGGCTTTGGCAACTCCCCTGGTGCCCACTGCCCCAAGGCTTTACTCTTGCACAGAAGTAAATGGCAGAGAAAGGAAGGCAACCACAGCTCTATTGCCCCCCATCTGTGCTGCTTCTAAAGCAGAGAAAGTGGATAAGAAACGGAAATTGCCCTCGGGGTCAGAAGTCAATAGTAAAGGATAAATGGTTGCTGGTGCGTGTTATGCATTGCTGTGCATGGCACATAAGTGACACAGGCTACAGAGCACGGCTTTTTTTTTTTTAGCTCCAGATAGTAGGCAGGCTTTCTGCTTAGGACTTAGTGTAATATTGGAATATCTCTATGGAAATAAGATGATAGTTTTCCATAGAAACAGTCTGTTTTGAATGCTCTTCAGCACAGTCGCTTCTGGTGGTTACTAGAGGGACAGAAGATAGCTCATGTTGAGTTTAGTAAGGAGAAGTTTGCTCCCAGGAAAGTGGTCATGCTTTGAAAGTCTTGACCAAGGCTGGGGCTTGCCTGGATGATTAGTACTCTTGGTTCTCCCCTGGTGTGCCTGTGAAGGGTATATTATTTCTAGCATCTTCTATCTGGTGCACTTGGCACAAGAACAATTTTGCAGTTTTTCACCTAGTCTGTGTACAATTTTTTACCCACCTAGTCTGATCATGGCCTTGAATGGGAGAAATGATCAAGCCAGAGGAACTGCTCTAGTTAACTCACCTGAGAGTTGGGTCTGAGGTGGACTGTTGGGGTGACAGGTCACCATGAGCTTGGCTACAACGTGTGGTTTGCTGAACAACCTGCAGTGTCTCTTTGTGCCCTGAGATAACATTCCTTTTACTATATTAAGTAACATTTCTTTCTTACCGCAGGCTTAGCTCCGTAGCCAAAATGCAGAAAGATCTGACTGAGTACTCAGTCAGGTCACTGAGTCCTTTCTGCTCCTTGCAGGATACGCTGTAGGGCTTGAACCAAAATGCATGGTTTTGGTTGTTTGGGTTTTTTTCCCAGTGTTGGCAGATCTGGCACTTCAGAGGAAGAAAAATTATAAAGGCCATTTTGTGGGGGTAACAAAGGCACCTTTTTCTAACTCAGAGGTGTTGCAAATAAACTCAGCAGGATCATGTGTCCTTATTTTGCTGTATCCTGAAAAGTGCAAACTTTGCATTGCTTAAAATAATAAGTGAATTCTGCTTACTCTTCAGTTCTTCTTGACTGCACCCCTGCCTCAAACCTCTCTGTGGAAACCACCCAAGAAGAGAGGAATGTCTTCTCCTAGAGCTGCTGCTCCCATCTGTTTCTTCATCATTAATTTTGGGGGCAGGAGGGAGCTCCTGTTTTCCTGTTCCTCCATACATCAGTGCCTGCCTGCAGGAGATGCAGCCCCTGCTCCTTTGACACGAGGAAAAATAGGTTGTTTTTTGTTGTGGGTTTTTTTCCTAAGTTCTTCAAAACAGAAGTAAATATTTTTAGCATCTCCCTCTTAATAAGGAGGCTTGAAAACAAGCTGTTTATGCTGGGTGTATGGCTGGAGATTTTTGTTAGTCACTGCTGGAAGCACAGCCATGAACAGGGCTATAGCACATTTGGCAGAGCTCTGTCTTCGGGACAGTTCACAAGCACTCAAGGTCCTTGAGTGACAAAGGTAAGCTGTGCTCTTAGGTGCACTCATCTCAGCAGCAATCAAAACAAAACACCGAGAAGGTGGGAATGCTGTGGCTTTTGTAGCAAAGTAGAGAAGCAGGCTTAATGCAAAGATTGCCAAAGATTGATTGGATTACAACTTGCTTGGGAGGAGCCACTGCTTTAATTTCTCCCTTCTTTTCCTGACTCTGACAGAGGTATGACATGTGTGCTTGCTGAGGGTGAGGGGAAGGTGAGGAGGCTTCAAGAGGAATGATATTGAAAGGTAGGAGTGCAGCAGGTGTGACTAAAAACTAGAGCGCTGCTGATAGTGAGTTGGTGTGTTTAAAAAATAAACAGTTTGTTCTGTGGCAAGTGCATTTCAATAACCAAAATATAGCTGTTCTATTTTTCAGTAATCAAAACCTACTTTGGGTCCCAACCGAGGAGTGTAGCCCTAGGTGCTCAGAGAAAAGGGGTATGCAGCTAAGGCCCTTTTATCCTCTCCCCAGCTTGCATGGGGCATAGCCCAGCTAGGTGATGCAGGGATGTGGCTTACTGTTGTTATTCTTTGTGGGTAGCTGTGTGTATGGAGAGGTGGCTTAGGCAGGGGAGAAGTCAGTCTTTTGATTCTGGAAAGCTTTTGGGTACCTCAGCATTGACTGGAAGAGGTTGGATATTGCTGTAGCTCTCAATGGATTTGGATGTTCAGAAACTCCTCTAGCCTGGAGCAGAAGCCCTCTAGATCCCTCTCTGATCAAGTATGTAGTACGTCAGAGAGATGCAACCCATGAAGGGATACAGGGAATAGCAGTAAAAGCAGACACTTCATTTTCTTTCTGCTTCTGCTCCTTCTCTTAAAATTCTCTTGTAGTTTCCTCCCTTTCACAAATACTGGTCAGGTGTGGTCTGATGTGCAACTTATTTTAGATTAAGAGAAAGAATGTGCAGGCAGAGCTGTCTTTTATTCCTGGTGTAGGGGGAACGTGGGCTCCAAAATGAGGACAGAAAATTCTCATCCATTCAAAGGTACTACAGATGGGTAAAATAAGTGTGCTTATCACATGTATCAAGCTTGGATGAGGGGGAGTAGTGAGACCCACTGTACTTGAAGCTTGGAGCCAGACTGCAGTAAGAGAAAATTAGTTTGTTTGGAGAAGATATTTTAGCCCCTTGCTTTGGCTGATGCTGAAGGAGCTAGAAGAGGAGGTGCACACTAAGTCCACTTCTAGTGTGTGGCTGGCTCCTGGTGCTGGCATGGAATTAGATTTGATGGCTGCTCACTACACAGAAAATCCCTCCAACTGTGACCAACTGCTGCTGCATTACAGCCTTGTTCAAAAACAGTCATGGTGGTTGTGGCTCCAGGGAGCACTCTCAGACCTGTATGCCCCAAAGTATGTGCATGACACCCCTCTCAACTAAACTCACAGTGACTCAACATCATGGAACTCTTTGGCTTCCCCTTGCAAGTGGGTATGAGCTCAGTTTGCAGCTCTGTGCTGCAACCCAGGAGCAGAGAGCCCTGTGGCCACTGATAGAACTGCTCCTGCATCCCAGCCTCCCAATGCCTCTGACCTGTTGGATTCCAGCACAACAGGGCAGACCCTGCCACTGAGCTTTTAGCAGCAGAACGGAAGGAGGGTGTTTAACAAGGCAGCCTTACAAAAGGCCACTGGGAGCAGGCCTGGGAGCTATCCCATTCTTTTCCTGAAGAGAGAAGAGCATCTCCTGATTCCCTACTTCTATTGTGCTCTGCTATAAGCATCTAGGTTGGCTCCTAAGTGCAGTGCAGGGAGGATCCAGAGGCTGGACGTCAAGGGAGCTGCACCTTAGCTCTGCTTCATTCCCAGTGCAGGAGAGAAGGGCAACAGAGAACAGTTGCTTCCCAGGTGAATGACAAAGAAAGAGCAGACCTAGTAGGGAAGAAAAGAATAGCTATTGTGGATAGCACCTTGTCAAGGAATGAAGTGTCTTGATAATCTTTTTCTTGTGCAGACAGGAGTTTGCAGGCCTGAAATATGCTTCTGGGCCTTGGTTCTGGTGCATTCCCCATACCAGGAGTTTCAGTCCTGTCTGTACCTAAGAAGGGTCACAAAATTAGCAAAAAAACCCTGCTTTACACAGAGAATGTACTCTCCTCCCTGCTTATCCAACTCTCCCTAGCTTTGAGCAGGATTGTAAGGAGCAAGTTGGCTTCTCCTTGCCTTCCCCTCCAGCCTGCTCCCTCAGCTTTCTGTTTGTTCTTTGGCTAACTGTGGCTAACTGTATCTCCCTGAGGTGGAAATTAGCATCACCGCGGTGGGCTTTGTGGCACCCGGGAGCCACAGGAGGACGGTTCTGCCGTAGACAGAGGGGAAGCCCACCTTGCCATGGTGGAGCTGGCAGGGCTGCTCTCCTCGAAGAGAGCAAAGGAGGTGAGACATGGCCACAAAGTTGCTCATGGTTTTCTCGTAACACTGGTTTCCTGTCCAGAAATATTATTCATCCTACTCCAAAGTCTTTCAGACTTGAGCGTTTCATGCAGAAAATGCACAGTGATGGGCAGTGAACACCCCAGGCTCTTAACCAGGCACTTTCCTTCCCTGCTTCACAGCCCACCTCACACACGGTTCTGGGCCAAGCCCTTGAGTGCAGAGCTGGGCAAGGTGGTGCCTGGTGTCCCCTCACCTTGGACCTGCAGCGTAGGCCCTTTCGGGGTCTGTGGGCCAGGTCCTGTCCCAGGGGCGAGAAGCAGGGGCGAGAGGCAGGCTGAGAAACCAGTGCGTCCACCAAACCAGTCTGAGCTTTCACTGGGAGTCACCTGGCATCACATGTCCCTTGCAGGCTGCTAATGAGCAGTGAATCCAACTCACCTCTCCACACTATACAGACACATACATATGTGCACATGAGTGCATATATAGATACACACACACATACATTAAAGATGCATATGAAATGTGTATCTCAAACATATGTCATCTATCTAAAAAAATATTTCATAATGAGGCTTTTCTTTCTATTTTTCTTGTTTTCCCTCAAAATAATTTGCTCAAAAATAATTTGTCCAAAAGTAATTTCTGATTTTTCCTTATAGGTGGAGAGAAGACTGGAAAGTTTTACCTTCAGATGAAGCTTGGTGTGCTTTGTAATTAAAGGTGACCCTGAAGGCTGTCTCTCTACTGTAGCTGCCATTGCCAGACTTACAGAGAAAGCCATGTGTGGGCAAACAGCCCTGGTAAGGACAACAGCCTGTTAATCCTGCATTAGGGACACTTCTGTGCCTCCACCTTGCAGCAGCCAGGTCAACTGTGGCCTCAGCTTTTCCAAGTCTTTCAGCAACCTGCTCAAGACAGACAGCTGAGCATTTTTCCAGCTGCCCTGCATGAGGGTCACTGGTGGTGGCAGCTCCCATCATGGCCAGGCACACAGCTCCAATGTGCAGAGCAGTGCTGGAGAAAGGGGCAAGCAGTCTGTTCCAGAATAGGGGCTGGAGCATGAGGCTTGGGGCTGACACGGGTTTTGAAGCCAGCACATAGGGAGCCTGATGTGCCCTTTTCCTTGCTGCTGCCTTTCTCTGGATAAACAGTCTCAGATCACAAGGACTATAAAACTAGTTCATTTCCTAGCATCATGTAAATAAGTCAGGTCAGACAGCTGGTGTGCCAGAAATGTCCTCAACATTTTCCTATCCGCATGATTTAACAAACTGCAACTAAGTATCCTAAGAGCCCTGGAAAAACATTCCCCGTACATGCATCAGGGATGTTTTAAGTATCTCTCAATGTCACTGAAAAGAAAACAAGAAACTGTTTCCTGGGAGGCAGTGGTGTGTGTCCAAGACAGTGGGCTCATGGAGAAGATGCAGGGACAGAACTGTTGAGTTCTTGTAGCTGCAGTGCAGCAAAGAAGAGGTAGTGTTGTAAAGAAATATTTGCTGGTTTAAGGCACTGAATTAATTTGAATTGTTTTGCAGAATAATTGGCTTGCACTCTTACTACTGCTGTAATGGGATAGCCAGAGAATCAGAAGCTGTGGCTGCTTCTGCAGTAGGAGACATGAATTATGGAAGAATGAGGCTGTGTTGTATAAGGTCAGGAGACAGTAGGACAGACAGGACTATATTCTGCTTTTTCTCTGCCTGTCCATGTGATGTTTGCTGTGGTAAGGTGTGAGTTCCTGAAGTAACATGAAATGAATCCTGTTTCCTTTCTAAGGAGAAATGGGTTGCTATTTGCCATCCCCACAGCCCTGATACCCCAGCCTGCCACATTATGGATGCTAATTATAGTAGTAAAGCCATGACTTCAGCTCACTTTCTGGAGGGTGCATTTGGAGAAATGTGAATTATGCAGAAGTGGGATGTGGGTACTCATCTTTGGATGGACAGCTGTGTCAAACACAAATCAGATTTTACTTTATGGAATCTGCTTTCTCCTTAATCTTCAGAGATTTATTGAAAAGACCAGTCTCTAATCTCTTCTCCTGCCTGCCACAGACAAGTACATTTCACCTACTTACCATTGGGTAAATTTTAGTGTCGTTCTTAATCTATGGTGAAAAAGGCTTGGGAATAGATCTGTAGCATGTCATCTCTGGCACTTACTGGGGATTTCCCCACCTGTGTTAAGCGCTGCCTGGACCTACACACACCCCGGCACAGACCCTCCAGGAGGTATTCAGGAGCAGCAGCTGGCTGGGGAGCACGTGGGCTGGCAAGCCTCCATGGCTTGGCTGTGCACTGAGAGCTGGAAGGCAGAGGAGTTCCCAAAGGAAAACTGGCAAACACAGCTGGCAGCACCAGAGCAAGGGGAAGGAGAGGAATCAGGGTGCTTGGTGGGAGGGAGCCTGTCTCACATAGCAAGAAGAATCTTGAGGCCACACCATTTTTCATGGAGCTAGCACTGTTAATAGGGAAAAGAAGGAAAGCAGTGGCTGGCCCAGGCCCTTACACTCACTGCTGGAGGGACTATTTTTAATTACACACATTTTCCAAATATCTAAATATATATGGATAATTTTTGGGGGAAGATGAATTGTTATCCAGGCTAGTTGCTGTAGTCTTTGGAGGCTGAGGGCGGGTGAATTCTCTGTAAGAGAAGATCCTCTTCCTGATGGTCATGCTGTCATCTGGAGTATAGTGGAAATGTAGAGATGTCATGAGTAAAATCTAGTTGTAGGGAGGAGGTGAGGCTCAATGAAATGGGAAAATTAGTAACTAGAGCTCTGTGGGAAGAGAAGGGAGCTCATGCCATCCCCCAGCTGACCTGGTGAACTTGTGTAGCCATTGGCCTTCTTGAGAAGCAGCCTATAGCTTGACCAGAACAAGTTCTGGGCTGCAAACCCACAGTCACGTTCCTGTGGAGAGAAACACATACAGGACAGGTAGAGCAGTGTTTAATTTCCATGTGGTTAAAAGGGGTCCTTTCCTATATGTGCTCTAGAGCAGAGATGTGGTTTTTGTGAAGGGGTTGTCCAGCTTTCTGCTATGGACAGAGTGACTTTGAAACTTGGGTTGTGGTGGTTGCAGATCCTGGAGCTGCAGGGACAGTGGCCATGGGAGGGACACTGGGGAGAGGCCCCTGGCAGAGAGTAAGGCAAACAGTTCTCAACGTACATTCCCCTTGTCTCTGTTCTTGAGAGTCACTTAATGGAGGGAGGGATTTTTTTTTTTTTGCTAATTAAGAATATAGAAAGATACGTAATGTCAGATTTCCCCAAAGGCAACAGAAATTCAAGTGGAAAAGGGAGGGGAGTTGAAGAGCAGCAGGCAAGTGGAAAATCTAAAGCTTTATTAGTGCTCTGTTTTCCACATGGAGTACTGTGGGGTTTTGTCTCCTTCACCTGAGATAAGAGGTGAGGAAAAAGCACCTTTATTTGTAGCTAACTCATCCAGGTCCCTTGCAGGGCAGGCAGGTTCCTTACTCCACCTGCCAGTCCTGCCTGTGTCTCTGCTATGCCTTAGTTGTTAGGTTGGAGGTGGGTGTACAGAAAGGGCACTGATGTGCCCTTCATTCACAGAAGAATGAACAGCACACTCAGTGAGTCCTTCTTTGGGGGACACACACTCTTCAGATGCAATGCACTCAGCTCAAAAAAGCTTCGGCTACAACCTGTCCATCTAGCTTGCTTTCCTACGAAAATGAGGTGTTGGCAGTTGCTCACTCTCTTCCATCTCCTCACAGTTGTGACTTCTGTCCACCAAGCTTAATAGAGACAGAGATCTCAAAGATGATCAGACCCTTCCTGTTTCAATCTAAGAGTAATAAAAACATTTTATTTTTTATTTATAGCTGAAGAACAGTGGAATTTGCTAAGCAGGCTCTGGGTTAATCTTGTGCTTTGAGGTGGGAGCTGCTTTTCTCGCATCCCACACCAATGCTGCCGGAAGCATCTCTTGCTGGAAAGACGGAGGAGAGCAGCGCCTCTGGCTACAGCATAACCTTTGCTGTCCCCAGGTAAGGCACAGAGATTTGGCAAGGTGTGAATGTTTCACGGAGAAATGATAACAGCTATGGCCTTTAGGGAGCAGCTGGACTGCAGAAGGCGAGATGCGCTGAGGAAGGTAACAAAATGTCATTTGATTGCTTAGCTGCTTTTGAAAGGCACAACAAGAAAGATTTACCGTGTGTGTAATTTCAATCAGTCTTAGGGACCTGGCCTCTTGACTAAAGTGGAGAGATGAGGATTCCTCCTCTGTAGTTACTGCTATGTATGTGACTGCGAAGGAGTCACCTGGAGAGCTGTAAGCTATTTGTATTGCCCAGCTTTGGGTAGAGAGCCTCACCTTCTCAGCCTTTTTCTGTAACCTCAGCTTATGCCTTCCCCTTCTATGAAAAGGGGCTGGTCTCCAGTGGCCACCAGGCAAGAGACCATGGCTCATTCTTCCTGGCTGCGTGCAGAGGGTCTTGAGGTGCTCACAGCACAGCTGCTGGAGCCGATGCCCTGTGCTAGTTCCTAGTAAGAACCTGGTTTCATAGCTCACTGTGTCAGGAGTTTTCCTCACTCTTTTATGGTGGCAGCAGACCTGAACTCTTTATATTTAAATCTCAAATGAAGAGTTTTTCCCCCACTGGCTTGAGTTGCCCTCTGGCAGCTGTGTGGTGAGCTGTGGGACTGGCAGGACTTGCAGCTCTGCCCCAACAGGCTGGCTTATGTGGGAATGGGACTTCCCACCTTCTGATGAAACTGAAGCATAGGATCTATGCCTTCTGAAACCATATTTCTAGATAAATATATTTCCTCCGAGGTCAATTCTCTTTTGGTCCTGTCTTAGTGCTCAGTTAGTTACTCACAGTCTCTTTAGTACACAGTGCCAAATACATCCAACCATCAAAACCTTTCACTCTCAGAGTGACAGGTTTGGCATAGGAAGTGTTTATTTTGTGTGTACACAAAACTGCATACTATTTTTCCTGTGTTTATCTTTCTCTGCCACCAAGAGGCATCTTGAGGCATGTGGGAAAAGTCACACTACACTTTCATAGCATCCTAGCAGCATTACTTGCCCCGGAAACAGCAATAAAGCTGTGGCCTGTGGGCTTGCAATGACAGTTCAGCTCCTCATTTTGTTCCAAGCCCTGACTGCATTATCTGTCAGGAAGATAATTCCCTGACCTTGTGGTCAGGGGATGAGTGCTTTGCTTAGTGATTAAGCCACTGCAGTAGATAGCATGCCGTGCTTAATCCCTTCGGTAGCTGGTCCCAGGGAGGGGGGGCAGGAGGGGCTGCAAAAATACAGCAGCTTGTGATAGGTCTGGAGACCTCAGAAACGGTGACAACACTACAGAAACTGTGGCTGTATGTGCCCATCCTCCTAAGTTCATTTGGTGGCAGACTGGAAAACAACCAATATATCTAGGGCACTATTTTATCAAGCGATAAAGCCATATGGTGCAAAACCCCCACAGTTGTCTGAGGGCTTAGGCATGTCAGAAATCAGGGAGTCCCTTTGCATATTGATCCTGTCTGCTAGCTGGCATATATAAAAAGAAGGTTCATAATTATTTTTCCTCCACTCTGCCAATGGGGGAAGGGACTCTGAATAAGCAACTAATCCTGATCTGAACTGGGGAAGGATAGAATACAACCTTTCCTGCTGGGATATGGCTGTGAAGCATGCAGCTGGCATGCTGGAAAGCCCCACAGACCTGCCTTAATGTCCAAGCAAGTGCAGCAAATGCATCAGAGTATGGATACATGACCAAAGTTCAGGTTGTACAAGCTGAGGGTGGAAGCCCAGTCTCCCAGCGATATTTAGGGTCCTGTCTGCAAGTGAAATCAGAGTGAGAGCTTTGACTGACAAGGTCTGACCTAGGAGGTTTCATCCTCCCAGATAGAATTCTGTCTCCCTCTTTTTGCTGAGATTCTGTCTCTTGCCCCTGCCAGAGAAGGAGAAGATGAGGACATGAGCCCACACCCAGCTTGCTAGCAGTGGAAACACTATCTTCCTTGAGAGAGAACCCTTGGTTTTTTTTGAGCAATCCTTTCTTCCCAGGCTGTCACTGAACAGTTAAGGATTACGATTCCCTTTTAATCTGGCTTTTCCCTTTCAGAAGGTCTCTGCCCTCTTTGGAAACAGCCCCAGCCTCAGTTTTCCTCTGGCTGTGGTGTCACCTCCATTGGACACAGGAATGTGCTAATTGTCACCATGTGCTTGCCTTTGGCAATTGACCTTAACAGGCATAAAGCCAATCCCGTGGTCTGAATTGAAATGGTTGCTTACAAATAAAGCCCTGTATTGATCTGGTCTTTGTGCAACACTGCCAGCCATCAATCCAGTTCCCTAAAGCGAACTGGACTATATTTCTTTGCTGTAATGCCACCATAGTTGGAACATAGTCTTGAACAGCTTTTCTACAATTCTCCACTCCAGCCAACTCCAACTCATGTTGGAAAACACCGTTCCTTTCTTACCTGAGGTCCTCAATACTTCCCACCATTCTTCATTCCCTGAGGGTATCCAAAATGTGTGAAGCTGTTTGGTCATGTACATCTGTTACATGAAACCTGTAAACCAGGTCTCCTATGATTTTAAGGTTATTTAAAGGTCTCATTTTGTCATTTCTTTCTTCTCATTCACATTCAGCAATTATTTCCTTTCCTCTGGGGAGTAATTCTACCCCTTTGCATTTATGCCTCCAACTTCCCCATAGAAAATACTTATGTTTAAATTATACTCTATACATCTGATAGACGGATTCCCTGGCCAGCCTTGCCTGATTGCAGGATGCCTCCCTGTACCTGAGGACATTGCGGTGTGTTGTCATGGAGAGGACTCAGACAGTATTATTAGGTTAGCAGGTACTGTACAGCATGAGAGTTTATACAGCAGTGGCATCAGGGCAGACTGGAATGGCCCCTATGGATTCCAGGAGACTCTGCAGAAATTCCCTTGGTAGCTTACAGTAAATTTCTGTGCATTTGGGGACTTGCAGCCTGTGACTGAATCACGTGGCATCTGCATTATAGTACAGTGTCTTTGCAGGGAGGGATCTGCAGGTTCCCTGAGACTGCAGGAGCTGTAAGAAATCTCTAGAGTAGCACAGTGTAGTCTGGTCAGAGACACTCAGACAGTACAGTAGCTCTGGGTATGAACATCATTGCCTTCAGGAATCTCTACTTTTACAATTTTTTGATGGAACCATAAATAAAATGTATTGAAATATCTGATTCTGCAAACAGATACATGCAGGTTCTTTGAAATACTGTAGGAATCAGAGAAACCTTCTGTTACAAGACAGAGTGCCTTCTGCCTGGAAGATATTAGGACTCACAGCATCCAAGAGACGTAAGCTGGAGTGACAGCTACCATGCAAAGTGATATGTAGTGTACCTACAGCTAACCTAAGATGTCAGGTGCTCTAGTGTTACGTAAATCCCTGAAGCCCTCAGCTTGCCTACCTGCCTAGATTTTCTGAAAGCAGGCAGGTCACCTCTGGTTTACTGAAACAATCCTCTCTTGCTTTACTTCCTGCTGAGGAGCAGCAGGTGAAACTAATAGCAGAAAAAGCAATGCCATGACTCAGATGTTGCATTATATCTAAAATTCCTGTCATGACAGGTCATACAGCCCTATATAAGCTAATTATAAATTTACTGGTAGAATTCAGGTCATAAGGAGAAGCCGGTGATGGTGGCAATAGGATGGATGTATCTTAGGATGCCAGCCTGTCCCCAAAGCACCTGTGCATGATATGATGATGATTGCAGAAAGGAAAGCTTCTCTCTCATGTAAGAAGGGACACTGCTTCCCATGACAAGCACTGGTCTAAGTGTGGAGGGCAACACTTTAACACTTCTTCTAGGGCTGCTAGTGTTCGACCTGTTCATGGTACACTGTCTGAAGTGTAAACTAGCAGTGGTATTGATAATCAAAAATAAAACAGTAGCATCCCTTTGCTATGCTGTAACACCCAAGTCCTTCTCTAGATGTTCAATCTACACCACTCAAAGCCCAGATTCAGACAGTTCCTGTAGTTGCTCATGCACAGACATGCCCCAGATTAAGGAAGAGCAAGGCAAATTAGTTTGGTTGAAGCCTCTACAGATAAGTGGAGACTTGGCTGCACCCTGTGGTCAGCTCCCCAGGTACCTTGCTAGAGGCAATGGGAGCAGGAGCTCAGGATGAAACTGGCTAGGAAACAAGGACAGCTTGAATCAGGTGGGAGCTGAAAATGGTGCAGAGGCTCCTAGACAGTGCCTGGCTGAGGGTTGCTGAAATTTGATGAGAGCAAACTATCACTTTGCCATCAGGGTTGATGTCAGATATGGAGTGAGTCCACCCAGGATGGCTGTTCAGTGGTCCCTCTACAGTGAAATTAGTTTCTTTCTGTTTATGGATCTCATCTATCCCTTGAAATTCAAAGAAATAACTGTTACTGGGAGGTAAACATAAAGCCTGTTTTGTCGGCATGTACAAGAGGCAGGTGCACAGATAGAAAAGCTTGTGAACAGAGTGCCCCCCCTCCTAGGATCTAAGAAATTGCATGCAACTTGGCACTTAACAAAACTCTCACCTGCTGGCACAATGCTCATAGGTTTTTTTTAAGGAGGGAAAGGAAAATGTCTTTCTGCTTTACCTACACATTTGTGTTTTGAGCTCCCTTCCTCATTTATTTTCTCATATCTTATAAATCATTAAATAATTGTCAAAAATAGCACAGCCTATTTTGGAGGTGATTAAAAAAGAGAAGAAATTATCCCATCACCCTCTTACAAACCAAAACATTCCCAGTAGCACCCAACAGACACAGAGCCAAATCTCTTACTCCCTACTGTTTAGCTTGCTGTCTGACAAGATACTTCTGGGCCAGCTGCTCTTCCCCTCAGCTGCACTGAGCTGCTAAAGCAGACATTGCTTTGTAAACACCCAGGAACACAGCGTCCAGCACCAGGGTATTGACAAATTTGTCACCCAGTCTAAAAATAGCAACCATTACGTGACCCTCTGATCCCATTGCCTGGGTACTGTTCAGGCAGGGGGAAATTTCCACCAAGTTCTTGGAAGAATAAGATATCCCAAGCCACTGTGATTTGCATAAATAATAAAAGGTTGCATTCGTTCCTGGAACAACTCTGCTGGCCCTAGAGAGGTAACTAATGGGATGAACTGGGCCCTGTAAGTTTAATGTGCTGAAAGAAAGTGCTATTTCATGCTGTCATACTTAGACATATAAGTGATTCTAGCTAGCCAAGACGGTATAAGGATACTCAGTCCATGAGTACTCTTTCATTTAACATTTCCATCTGTAGTTCCTGCCCATTTTAGCTAACATATCTTCTTCTCAATGTGCCTCTGTCACAGGCTCCCAGTGCAGCCCTATCTCACCTTCAGGCCCCCCATTTAAAACTGTTTCAAGTTTTGGGGGCAATGCCCAGGAGTGGGAGCTGGTGGCTTAAAACCTTCATCCTCCATGAAGCACCAGCTGCAAAGCAGGAGCCAGAGGAGCTGCCACGGCAGGGGCGCAGGCATATCCCTCCATTGCAACCAGGAGATGTTAATTAGAGGGCTGCATGGGGATTAGGCAGGACTTGAATGAGAGCTCCAGCTAGATCAGGGTGGCCAGCATGGCCCAGGGCAAGTCACATCAGTTCTTTCTGCTTCAGTTTGCTTGTACTTAGGCTGGGGGCGATAACTAGTTTACCTCACAGTCAGGTCCTGAGATTAGATGTGGGGAGCTGTGAAAATCACATAAGAACAAAATAGCACTGGCGGTTTTGTTTTGTAACACAGAATAATTCTTACTGCCAGAGTGGTTCTGTAATGCAGAGGATTTCTTGCTGAATGGCAGGGACTTAGGAGATGAGTGCAAAGTTGACGGGGAATGATTTGGGTCTTTTCAGACTAGAATCTTACAGTAACAGCTCATGAGCTTACAGTAACAGCTCATGAGCCTCCAGCAAAGAGCCATGCTCAAAGAACAGTCTAAGGACAAAGAAGTCAGACCTAGAACTTAATTTTTTTCATGCCATAGCTTTAAGAGGCATGTGGGGTGTGGGGCCTATTCCATTATGAAGGCTCTGAAGACTGGCATCCCCAGAGTGCTAGTTGCTCTCCATAAACAGAGAATGTGTTTCCAGGTGTCTTGTGTGGAAGAGTTTTGCATTTTTTTTCTTCTTCCCAGTGTTTTCTCTTCAAAACATGACCTAATAATATCTCACCAAAAAGAAGGGCAGAGCTGCCCCCGGCCTAGAAGCAGAAGCATTATGATTTTCTTACCATGTCTCAGTACTGGCTTTTTCCAGGGGTGCCACTTGCTTGCCAAAGACTTGTGGGGCTGCACTCCCAAAGTGATTGTATTAGGGCTCTGTTGGCTCACACTAGAATATGCCTGTACTGCACTGCAAAGTAAATGTCACGGGGCTGATTTCCAGAGAGACTGGGCTAAACCAGTGTCTTCCTCTTCTTCAGCCTTCTTTTACAACTATGAAAGCTAAGTCCAGTCCTAACAAACTAAATTCCCTAGGACCTTGACTCAGCAAAGCATTAGAGTTTACATTTGCATGCTTTGAAGGGATACTGTGTGATCTGTGAAGAAATCACAGAGCACCTCCCAGAGCACCTCTACTCTCCTGGATGTGGTTGCTGCTGTACTAATCAACAGCACAGTTCCAGGTCCACAAAGTAGAACTTTGTGCGAAGACAGTCACAGTCATCATCTCTAATGTGCTGCCTCTAACTAGCTTTGTGTCTCATCTTTACATCTCCCTGCATCTGCTTTAAAACAAAACAAAACTCCCAACAAAACAAAAACAAACAAAAAACCCCAACAACAACAACAACAAACCAACAAAACACACACACACACACACGCGCACACACACACACACACAAAAGAAAACCACAAAAAAACCCCCCCAAACCAAAACCAAACCAACACACCACTTTCAAAACGGCATTTCAACTACTACAGTTTTGCTTTTACCAGCAGAGGAAGAATATCCACAGCTGAAAGCAAATCTTTCTTTAATGTAACAAGTGAAGTGATGAGAAGCTGTCCTCAGGTAGGATATGATCAGCCTGACTCTTTCTGAGGTCAGTAAAAGAGCAAAGGGTGTCGCTTCCCTGATGAGAGCTAGCAGGGGTGGCTCTGGGGCTGTTCTTAGCTGAACTTTTGGAAAACTAGTGGCTGATGGACTTTGTATTGCAAGTTTTGTGTTTCCCATGTCTCCCTGTCCAGGCTTGGCTTAATAAAGACATGCACACCAAACTAAGTCCCCTTCCAAACCTGTGTGCACTGCATATTCAGCATTTGTCTAATGAACAGAATCCCCCAGGCATCAAGAGAAATTTTAGCACAGCATGAGTCTGGAGCTCCATAACCATCATAAGAGAAACACAGTAGGTAACCAAGGCAAGAAATCTAATCCTCACATCCCTCATGTATGTGGTGAAAGAACTTATTATAAACTGCCTTAAAAATTACCTTGTAAAATATTAACTAGTGATGGTGCAGCTGCTTCTCCTAATAGCTTTTGAACATATCTGCAAAATTCAACTTTGACAGAGAGATCATGTTTTAGTGATGAATTTTGTGTGAAGAGGAAGAATACAGATGAGACTGTTGGCACTCTCTATGCCACTGAAAGGTTCCGGTTTTAGCCCAGATGCAGTTAAAAACTAGACAATCCACAAAAACAGGACAGTTTGTGAACATGCAAAATGCGCTCCATTGTGTTTCAAAACTCATCCAGAGCTCAGGCAAAAGAAACTGCTCTTTAACCAATGCTTCTCCCTCATGTGTGAGTTCTCTGATGTGTAATACAAGATGAATTCATCCTGCAGCCGTGGTTTCACTAAAGTGAGACTCACAGAGCAGCTGCCCAAGGAAACCAGACTGCACTGTTCTGAGGCCTCTGAAATTACGTGCCTATTCTGTTGTAGTCATCAGCGTGACAGACTCCTCTTTTCTGATACTGTGGTACAGTATCAGAATTCTGATACAGAATGCTTGATCATGTTGTCTCACTACAAAACATTAGTATAAAACAATAGGAGTTTTGCCTGAAAAGAATCCAAGGACTTGGTCCTGTTATTCTTTTTAGAACATTTAAATGATATTGGAGTCTTTCTTCTCCCCTGTGCTTTAAGATCTCAACTTCGGAAACACTGTAAACATTCTAAGTGGTTTCTAGTAGGTCAGCTTCAAGCAGTAGTCCTAGTCAATAAGCAGCAGTAAGCAGTGCAGTGGTTTTCAAGTTGTGTTAGAGCTGCATCCACGTGTCAGTGTTTGGCATTAGAACTGAATGTTTAGTGGCACTAGCTTCAGATTTGGGGTGATCCCGTTAAATCTACGGGATCCAACGTGAAACTACAGCTAGACTCCCAACTGCTTAGGAATTGAAAACCAAGAATTTAGGAACTGAAACCTAGGAATTTGAACCTAGCTGGATCTAAGATGTGTTACCAGTTACAGAAGTTTCCTGGTAATTGTCCTTTTGTTGTTGCTTTTAAAGTGCAGGTATTTCAAGGCTTAGTGGTCATTATGTGGCATACAGGCAAATGGCCTAAAAGCAAAGTCTTTGTTATAACCTTATGATTATAATACAGCGATAGCCTAAAATGTGTTTTCTAATCCCAGGAGAGGACCAAACTAAGCTAGCTTTCTGCTGGACCTTCCTAAACAAATGGTATCAGCTGCTTCTCTGCTCTAGGTAAGCCACAATCTACTTCTGAGGTGTTAGATAACATGTTGCCTGCTTTTAGTTCTCCCTAGCCTGCAGCTCAATAGCAAAACCACCAATTAATCCTCATCTAAAAGGGCCATACTTTTTACATGTGTCCCAGGATTTAATTTCTGTTCCTACAGAAATCCAGCAGTAAAACTCCTTCTCAAATAAATGGAAGCATAAGCAGACCCAAGAAATACCTCTCATGCCTCCACCCAACTTGCTGACTTAAATTTTCCATGCTGCAATTTTAAACTCATGAACTCCAGCAAATTTCACGGACTTTGGACTGAAACCAGTAGACAAATAAAAAATATCCATACACAGATTAATGTTGTTTGAAAAAAAATATTTTTTCTTCGACTGCACATTCAAAACTCAAACTGTACACTGCACAGTATAGGAACAGTAGTTTGCCAATCCAATTACCATCATGTAGGTTTGTTTTGATTAGTTTGGAGGTAGCCCCAAGGTGTCAAACTCAGTCAGCAGCAGGAGATGGACCCTAGGTGTAATTACAGTAAGTGGCCAAGACATGTCTCCTAGGATACAGAATGTTCTCAGTCTGCACTGGAAATGCCCTGTCAGAGGGAGATTTGGACAAAGTCTTCAGGTAGATTGTAGTAGACCTTTACGGAAAAAAAGCTGTTCCAATTAGAGGCTGTCTGCTCATTTGCCCACCACATTTTGCCTTCTTTCCACTGTTCCCCAGCTTTCCCTATTTTCCTTCTAAATGGACCAAGCAGTGAATTTCAACCACAGTGTAATGACACAGGAAAGCAAGGGCTCTCACATCTGTGCTAGCAAGCTTCTAACCAGATGAAACCAGGCTGTGCTGGGGTCACTGCAGTTTTTATCCCAACTCTAGTGCTGCCAGGGAGCAAGGGAAATTTAGTGCTGGCTAGATTTGGGCCACTGGCCATCTCTTTTCTAGGTCTTTGCAGCTACAAGGGCACACACAGATCACTGCAATATGGACAACCTGTGGAGAAGACTGTTTTTGTTCAAGGATCTTGTCTAGTGTTACAGCAGAATTTGTTTCACTGTTCAAACTGCTGCTTTGAGGATGAGGGTCATGGGACAGGCTGCTTGCTGGGAACAGTAATGCAGCTATCCTTTCCACAGCTACCAGATTTTGGTGTTAATTAGTGCTTTTCACCAAGGGATGTTTTACTTTAGTAACCATTCAATTAAATAAATAAATAAATAAATAAATAAATAAATAAATAAATAAATAAAT